TTAGCACACACCGTATTTTTTTCTTTATACAACCGGTTACATGAGCGCGCTTGTTTAGGTTTTGTAACGATACTATTTTCGATGTATTCAACTGCATTTCCCACAATGCAATTGGAAGTCTCTACGGAGCATGCGCCGCGCCGTTTACGTTCGAGGAGATTCATGTGCGTTGTAGCGTAGTCACAATAAGAAGAGACGGTTTAGAGCCATTATCGTGTTTTTTTCTCCTTTCACTCAGGATTGTTTGTCGTGTTGTTTAAGTATGAACAGAGGTGAGGTTACAGCAGGGCGCGGGAGAAAAACAGTGGTCCCAGATAAAGTCGACATGTCATTAGGTAAGGTGGACGCTGACACAAACGTTACCAAAATAGACTACCAGCTAATGTTAGCCTCTTGCTAGCTCGTATGCTAACTTGCTAAATAGAGCTCAGTGCAGTCGCCCTTGTTTATCATTGCTCGTGTGTTAAATTTAACAGATGACATCATTCGGTTGAACAAGAAAGAGCAGCAGCAGCAGTTTAAAAGAAGACAGACAACTGTTACTCGACGACCAGTGAAGAAGAAAGGCCGTTTAATTCAAGGAAAGGGAGTTTCGTTTGGGACTGGTGGACCCGTCCAGAGAGGTGTGTCTCCACGTCTACTTGCTTAAAGTGTGACTTTCCCTCTGTTCCAAACAAGTCTGTGCGCTGCTAACACCGCTGTCATTATCGTTATAAGGAGCTGGGGCAGTACCTAAATTAAGAAACAGGAGGGTCCCTCCCCTGTTGCCGGGGCGACGACGAGGTCAGGGGGTCATCACAGGACTGGCAGCCAGAAGGCCGACTGCACTGCTCAAACGAGTCGGCACACTGAACAGATCAGCAGTGAACCAGGTAATGTAGGACATGCTGGAGTTGACTTTATGTGGACTGACAGTGGCATGAAACTTGGAAGTTACAATGCACTGACGTGTATGAGGGATTATACTTGTAATGAATAAAAAGAGAGCATTTGCCCTGAATGACAGCCTTGTTGCTTTATTTCCCACCTGGAGTCTTTTAGGTGTCTGCATAAGATACATTATTTCGAGATCATGATATAGAACATGCATCCGTCTTAATTCTGCTGTTAGTGTAACCTGTGTCATCTTAAAAAAAACACGCTGGTTAAGTGTTGCACCTTCCTAAAGAAAATCTTGTACTAGTTAGTGGAAAGCATTCTATTTATAATACAGAAGAAGTTACATTGTGTGCTTCTGGTATCACACTTCAGACCTTGGGCATCATTTCTATTTTGTATGTTGACCCACGCCTGGCTAATTTGCCTATCCTACAAACAAGCACACCAACACACCATACTCTTCCTGCTTCAGTGACCCGACCCTCATCACTCCCCCGCGGCTCAGTGTTCTCCACATCCTGTCACCTGGCAACAGCACCAGCTGCTTTTTTGCTAAGTCATTACCTCTTCGGTTAACTGCCTTCGACAATCTTAGAAACTTTTCCATGTTGTTATCGAGGTTAGAGGGGCTTGAGAAGAATATGCAGCAAACTTTATCCCACCACAGCATCTTTTAATATAAAATATGATTTTGTGCATACAGAACTTTAAGTTTAGTATTTTACAGACAAGATCCAAGCTAACTGTGTTGAATAGTTTGTGTTTCTCACTGATTTACTCGTCTCCTTTAAGAGGTTAATGATGAAGCAATTATTCAGAAAGTAATTCGCTGATTTAATTTGAATAAAATATAGACCACGTATTACTTAAATTATACACATGGATTAACCAATGCTGTGAAATCTATCTATCTGTTAATGTACACTACCTAACCTTTCGATAATGGAGTATCTTTCCTCCACTACGCTTCCTTTTTTTTTTTAGAAAACAAGACAGAAAACAAAGCCCTTCATTCAACGTCCTGAAGCACAGTACAGGAAGCCAGAGGTACAGAGGAGGCCGTACAGGCAACCCGATCAACAGAGAGGCCAGAATACAACATCTGTCAGGAGACCATTTCGGCTACAGCGACGGTGAGAGTAAATCCCAACAGCTAGTATGATGCACTTGAGCAAGTGTAAAATTAGGATCATTCTTGGGAGTATTGCAGAAACCTAACGTCTGGATTTTTTATATTTCCCTAAACACAAAGTGCATTATGATGCGTTATGTAAAGAGTTTGATTTCAAGAAGGTGGACTAAGGATGTTGGACACATGGAAATTTGCTTCTTGATCTGGTAAACTGCGTTGTGTTCATGGTTACACTCACCATGCTGTATTTAAGTTCTTCTTTTATGTTGCACGTGTGCAGACCACTGCCCCCTGTCCAGCAGACGCAGAGAGAAGCACGCCAGGCCACGTTTCTTTTTCGCAGAGGACTCAAGGTACACAATGGCTGTGGGCTACTGAGAGTTGTTAAATGATGCATTTGTTGGGTCATCAGTGTGTCTGGGCTTTTGAGGACTTAAGTATTTAATTAAACAATTTCCAAATGTTATTATTCTTTAGTGTTTATTTTCTCATGGGCTTGTTACAGGTACAGGCCCAAGTGCAAAAGCCAAATCCCCGTTCTCCTCCAGCCAGAACTAGACAGTGAGTATTATCTTACCTCAGTTAGTTTGTTTTGTCTTGTTTACTCTGTTTTGTGTACATGTGAGGAAGGGGAAATGTTATTGAGGATATGAATCATTTGGATGGGAAAGAAGATCGTTGTTTGCCATTTAACAGTCTGTGTTTCTTTTGTTCCTTTTGATTGTATTTATTTCATTTTAAAGATTGATTTTGGGGCTTTTTTGGCCCTTCTACGATAGGACAGCTGTAGAGAGACGGGAATTGTGGGGAGAGAGGGAGTGGGGGATGACATGCACCAAACTGGGGCAGGATCGGGAGTTGAACCAGTGCAATTAGGATTTTAGCATTTCTACATTTCTACATTCCTCCAACTGAGCTTAACCTGCACTCCATTTCTTGTGTTCATACTACTACTCTTTTTATCCACAAGGTGGCGGACATCAACAACCAACAGCGGAATCTTGACTGTTTCAATCGACAATCCAACAGCCCTGACTCAGCCTGAGTAAATATCACAAACTGCACAACGTCTACAACCTTTGTCATATTACAGAAAGTTATTTCTGAACCACTTTTTTATTTGTAATAACTACAGTGCGGGTTTATCATATTACATTTTAAGGAAATATATATAAAGTATAAATAGATATAGAGGGATATAAAGATATGATGTTGATTATGACAATGACACCGAGCTTAACAATCAAGACACTAGCAGGTAGAAGTGACGGTGTGACTTCTGTGTAGGCCTCCCTCTGCTTGGACGCTGCACCCTCCAGTTCCCAGCTCTACTCCTGTCAAAGTGGAAACTGAAGAGAAGAAAATACCAAAAGGAGTGCCTCTGCAATTTGACATCAACAGTGTTGGAAAACCAGTGAGAGCATTCTACTTTGTTTTATGCTAAATGGTTTTTATAAGAATACAAGTATGGCTTAGCTAATTTACAATGGGTCTGTACAGTCCATCAAAAACAACAACAAATACACAAGTGACAGTTTAGAGCCTGAACCTCGCTATAAATACTTACATTTAAACCTCAAAACTAAACGATAAATCAGACAGAACAATGCATGATGTAATACTTAAATTCAATAAACCATATTGATCAGTACAACATGAGCCCATTTCAAAACTTAACGTAAAATGGTCCCAGTTAGGATCCAGTTTGAGATTTGCAGGTAAACTATTACGCCAAACATTAGCTGTATGTCAAAATGAGGATTTCTGGAAGTGGGGACACAGAAGTCCTATTTAGATTTTTTATGTATTACTGACCTTGAAACTTTCAGTGGAACCTCAAGGTCACTGACTACATGAGGACCCTGATTGTGTTTTCAGATACAAGGTCAGCACATTGGTTAAAATTGTCAGAAACTTGCACATTTATTATCTTAAGGTGGCGAAGATGCGATCTAAAAGCCTTCCTGTCTAAACTTTAAATTACTTAATTGTTTAACATTATGAAAATAATTAAATATTTTCAAGCCACCAAAGGACCTTTTCTTCAAATATTATTACCATATAGTCTTCAAAATATTGCTGAACCCTGTATGTTAATATGTTTGTGTTTTCATTCCTGTAGCAAACATCGCTGACCTTGAATGAGCGATTCCGCATCCTAAAGGATCAGCGCACGGCCACAGCCCACAGCAATAAAGGCAGCAGGTTTGTAACCGTGGGTTAAAGGGAAAAAAAAGACGGTAACACTTGGCAGCCCCTTTGGTCCTGCTTAGACACACGGTGGACTTGACCTTTGTGATGGATGGGATGTGTTACCCACTGACTAAAGGGAAGGAGTGAAACAGTGGGATGAATGAGTTCAGCCTGCACAGCTGTGAGAACTGAAGTGTCAAACGAGGAGATTGTTTAAAAATAATTTCCCATTCATTGTCCATATCATTGTACTCCGCTGTTTGTATTGTGGACATCCTAACCTGGGAAGGAAAGAGCTTTTTGTTCCCTCTGGACTTGGAACTGTGGACACTGCTCAGACATATTTGTTTTAAAGAGAGGACTGCTATGTATTTGCTGAGGTGGGGATGGATGTTCAGAGTAACCTTTTTGACATTTTTCAAAATTATTTTGTAAAGTTTGTTCCAATAAAGGAGTTTCTCTTACATATTTGGTTGAGCCTGAAATGTAAAAAAAAAAAGTCAACAAATGCAATATCATTTTTTTTATGTCCACAAGAGGGGGAATATTGTTTCTAAACCCACTGTGAAAGAAAGTAACAGACATTTTTGGAATCTGAATATTGCTTTTATTTAAATACATTAAAATTTGCAATGTAACAAAACTATTGGCATATGAAATTCAAACACCATTTAAATGAACAAAACATGGCTCACTTCATTTTCTGTGACTAGTGTCAGTAACACTAGGTTGTTTTTCTCTCTGCCCACTCAGCTCTGATTTGCCCCCCCCTCCTCCTCCTCCCTGTCCATTTACACTGTTCACAGACTATCTTACAATAAGAGTGCTGAATAAAAATGAGGTAAGAAAGTGGTTTGAAAATTACAGATCATGCAAAACATGCTGAACAGCAACAAAATATGTTGTGAAGGAGGAAGTAACAAAACCAAAAAAAAAATAATAATACATGAGTGTGCATTTCAAAATAATCAATTTACACAGCTTTGCATCTTTGGTTACAAAGTAGGTTGAATGATTTCACAGCTTTCCCCCCTGCCCCCCTCAGGAAAACAATGGAGGAGGAAAAACAAGAGGGGGGTATGGCAACACTAATTCACTTTAGATTAAGGAGTTGAATCTTAACCAGATGCCGTCTTCAGGCACACGTTATGCTTTGATGTCATCAGGTGGAGTCACCCACCAAGGCTCTTAATACTTTTTACTATATGAAATTGTACATTCATACTGGGTCTAGATTTTAAATATGAATTGGCAAATGAGGAGATGAATTTAAGTTAGTGTTAAACAGTTTTCAGAATTCATTTATTTGATATTAGCCTACTTTTTATTTAGTTAAATCTCAAGTGTTGCCTCAGGGTAGTATGGCCAAATGTTGAAACACTTAAAGAAACAGGAAACGATTTCGCTGGACTACTATTTTACAGGTACATGAAATTATTCATGTATGAAAATAGCAGCCCTGTAATAAATAAAACACTTAACAGTAGAACTCAAAAGACTGATGTTAGGATTGGACTTGATGTAAAAAGTAACGGCAGCAGTTTGGCGCTCCGATAAACAGACTCTCTCCCACTTCTTTCTATACAACATGAAACAGCAAGGCTAAAAATACCCCTTTATCCCCTCATTTATCTTACGTTTAAAAAAATAATCACTCTTTTTAGACAATCACTCCCATTTGTCCCTTATGTGAGGCAAACCCCTCCCTTCCCACGCCCTCAGTCTGAGCAGGTCTCAGGTCAGTGGCCGTGTCGCGGCCTGGGTCCAAGAAGAGACATCCTGTCCCCGAGCTTGGACCTAGCAGTCACCCGCTCTTGGATAACAGCCAAGATGATGGAAACCCCCTGACCCTCCCCTGACACACTCCAGTCTCTACACGTTCCTCCTCTGTCAAAGTCTTTCTCACTTGCTTTCTGATGATTGCATTAACACTGGAAAGGCCCACAGTACAGATGCATACACGCTTACATTTTACAGTCACACCTGCTAACACACCCTGCACACACTCACACCCACTCACACAAGCTGTACTTTGTGGTCAAGCTGGTGGCTAAGAAGACAAAGAGTTTTTTCTTCTTTTAATTTCACATACACTAATTTGTAATAGGTTGCAGAGAAAATGCTCTTCTTTTTTTCTGCCTTATGAGAGGCAGGCAGATGCACTTCAAGCAGAGGTGACGTTAGGTTGCTGTTGTTGCTGTTGGCCGGGATCAAGCTGAGGCTGAGTCTGGAGCTGCTGGGGTTTGGGGTGGTGCTGGAGCTGGGGGTGGGACTGCTGAGACTGAGGAGGGGGCTGGGGCTGGGCCTGGGCCTGGGCCTGGGGTGGAGGTTGGCTGAGTCCTTGCTGGGGAGGCGTGGTGCTGGCGGCCGACTGGGAGGGCAGCTGAGACAGCTGCTCACTGTTGGCTAGAGATTTCAACACAGCGTTCTCCCGCTCCAGCACAGAGTTCCTCTCGTACAGCTCCTTGATCTGCTCCTTTAACACCTCCACCTCCTCACGCACTGCATACATCAGATGGCTTTTCACCAGGTCCTGCAGGAGAGCAGAGGATGTCATGAAATGTGTCAGTAGGGCAAAGATGTGAAACAAGAGATTTATCATGTTTATAAAAGGACATCAGAGCTCAAAGCTAAAAGCTACATTTGTATGCAAAGAGGAAATATGATGAACAGTATGACACTGGGGTGAGGATCATCTGATGTTATACTTCACAAGGATAAAAAAAGATAAAAGGAAACACAAATGTCTTGAATTAGGCACAATAATACTGTAATGTTTATAATATCTGGTCCCTATCTTGCCATGCAACCTTCTTCATACTTAAAAAATGGTAACAATATTACTCACCATTGCCTGCTCTATTTTATTATCAATGGCTGCAACATTGGTTCCCGAGGCTCTGTGAAAAAGAAAACACAGATGTTAGAATCAGTCTCGTAAGGTTTCAGGATCCAAACTCCCGGGGAGAGTCATTTTTCTTCTCCCTTTCTTTCTGCTTACTTCACTTTTCTCCAAAGGATGGTAAAAAGGAGGAAATCACTGTTAACAAGCAATGAACAAGAAGAATCTCCATGGAGTTTTATATATATAAAAAAAACCCTTAAGACTTAAGCAGAAGCAGACAACGTGCACAATTAATCAGCAGCCACCACCGCCTAACCAGGTCAACCTGGGAGGAACAGATCGTATAAAATGACTTGTCTCAGTCTTGGTTGCAACATGAACATTAAACCTCATATCTAGGTCAGGTCAGCGTGCGTGCGGTACAATTAGTGTGCGCGTAAGAGCAGCTGGGCTCAAGAACAGCAGGTAGGAGTTAGTGCTACAAGAAGCATAAAGTAAGACTGCTGTTCAGTGTAGGTTCAGGTATGGGTTCAATGTGGCAGCAATTCCAACATATAAAACATGCCTATGAAAGATCTACATTAAAATGCACTCAGGCGTGCTATATAAATGATTGTAAAGTCATGATGACCTGGTTTCCGTCCTCTAAAATTCTACAATGAGTTTTATTGCAGCTGTTCTTGGCACACAGCAATAGGAACCAAGTGCGAAATGAATAATCAGCACATTTTTTTTTTGCCATACATCATTCATTTTAAATTTAGTGCTATGCTTTAGATCACAATAATACAACAGTGTGCATTAAAAGACATGAAGAGATTTATCAAAGAGAAATCTTGAAATGTTCAGACCGAAGAATCAAGGTCACTTGCACAGAGTCTAATGGCTCTAATGTTACGGAAAAGTATTCAAAGCATTATAGAGTAAAGATCACCTATCACCGAAGAACACCACACATGATTCAAGAATCAGTGCGCGTCATTTTGACCTGTGTTCTCTGCGGGGCAGGCAGTGACACCGGTTCAGCCTGTCGTTACCTGCAGCGGGTCCGGCAGGAGAGCAGCAGCGGCTCGCCGATCGCTTGACGCCGGGTCAGGCCCCCGGGGCAGCATGGTGGTTTGTAGGAAAACGTGCACGGCATGGCGCTAAAGCTACATCGGTGAAAAAGAGGCCACCGGTGAGACCGCAGGCGGTTTAGTCCGTTAACTATGACCACATTTGGAATATTGAAACATGAAGCGACGGGCGGCGGAGCCAGGGGGGGCGGGGGTGACAGGGGGGAGGCGGAGGGACGACTGTGCTACGCCCGTTTCATGGTCCGACTGGTAACATAAGTAACTACAGTGTGGATTTACAGGGTTGAGAACCGAGAACAACTTGTGCCCAGCATTTAGTTCACTTAATTAATCAATCCATTCAGCAATGGACACATCGCGAGTTGTTTGATACCATTTATAAACACACAACATCCGTAAAGTAAAAAAAAAAACTATGAAGCTGAAGAAAGACAAAGGACCCTGAAAAACATGTTTTCAGTTGTGCAGTCTAATGAAAACTATCCGCTAATGACGTCAATCAAAATGCACGAAGTCTGGCAACAAAGCAACCAAAAATAAGTTTAACCATAATGTGTTCCTTTTTTACAATCGACAGTTCACTTAACCTTCAAAAGAACGAAGGAGACAGGAATAGTTCTGCAAAGTTCAAATAGGTGTAGGGTCATTGAGTAGAAAGTGGAGCCAGGGAAAAGCTCATTGTATTTAAAGAGAATTGCCTGGAGTGGAGTCCATTAGTCCCATGGAGTGGAAACACTGTTGAAGAAACCGTGTCACATTAAAAAGTCTGTCCACCAGAGGCCACTGATGCTTCTTATTCCAACAGGTTAATGTCTCTGTGTATCCTGGTCAAAACCCTTCCAACTAAGGAATCAAATCATTATAAAAATGTCTCAAAGACTTTTCAGTAGATGTATTGGTTATTTTTTACCCCAGTTCTGATAGACAGACGGGTGTATTGGCCTAAAATAATTTATAGTGATCTATTTGTTGTTAATAACAGCGTTAAGTTTTTACACCTGCAAGAAAGGCTGATGTAAAAGCAGCACCTTGTTATAAAGAAAAGACCAGTGCCACAATGTGGTAGGATGGTACCTGAGGGTAGACACCAGGCTGATGGTGGACTCCCCTTGAGGACACAATGTTCTTTTGCTCAGCACCATCCAATATATGTGTGTGAGGCCAACGGAAGCTCTCAGCAGATCGTTATCAGCGAGTTGGACCAGGACAGGAATGTTCCCCATACCTCTGCTGCTATGAAACATTGTCACTCACATCTTGTCCTACAGCACATGCTTTGATCTCTGTCAGATATGACAGCGTCTTACACGAGCTACATGCATATACATCCTACAATGAACAAAGATGACATCTGTCAACTTAGACAAATACAGTGTCAATCAGATTAAACACACAGAAACACCCCTAAAACGTAGAGCTAGAAATACAATTTTTTTTTTTTTTCCACAACTCATTTAGCAGATGCTTTTACAAAAAAAAACAGAATTCTAATCTATTCTGTCAAACCACAGTCCTACTTCTTAATCACCTTCATTGACAACATTATGTGACCCCCCCCACAACTGTTTACATAACCAGAAATAAAAAAATAAAAAACATCAAACCCAGCTTCGATCTCTGACCAAATGTGTTTAATTTAGACAAGGCGTTGCAAAGGCCCTGAGTTTTTTCATTAGGCCTGTGCCCAAAGGAATCTCTCCCTCTATGAAGAGCAGACCCTGATGGACTCTCAGGGCTACACCCTTATTGCTTCATCAGTGGCTTCTGACAGCACAGACAAAAACAAGCTCTACTATCAAGTGGCACTACAACATACCTAGCCTTCTAATCACAACTCAATAACAACATCCCAAATACTTCATACATGTTTTAAAAAGTGAATTCACCTTTTCACACATGCTCATTGTTTTTTGTACTTCGAGATAAATAGAGGGAATCCAGTGTTTCCCCTAGGTTTACATACATATCTCTATAAAGGCACAAAAAAGCCCCAAAAATAAATAAATTAATCAATCAATTTTTTTTTTTACTTGACCTTCAAGGGGGGGAGAATAATATAATGGTTGGGGAAACACTGGAATCTGTCAAAAAAAAAGAAAAAAGACAAATTTCAACTTATTTAGTAACTGGAAAGGTAAAACCACCTTTTTTAGATATCCAAGCAAGCATAGAAAATATGAGAAGGCTGTAATTAGGTTTTGATAAAATAATTATTAACACACCTACGCAAATGTTTATGAGTAAAATGTTCTATTGTGTGCAAGATAGCACACCGAGTAAAACTGTGGCAAGGATTATCAACAATAAAGACATCACACACAGATGTCGGGAAATTCGGTGAAGACATTTTGGTTTATATGATTCAGCTAATGATAGCTGGAAAGACAAACCAGGACAGAGATGAGACAGATGGGAGAAATTAAAAAGGAGAGCCGAGGTTAAGACGTTGTTAAGGCAGCTGTTGCTGAGACACGAGAGAGTTTCTAGATCTTGACAATAAGCAGACGCTCCCTGGATTTTAACGAAAAACAGACCAAAGTTGCAGTTTGGTGGATTAAAGTCCATTTGGGGAGAAAAACTGGGCCAAAACCCTCTAGTGAAAAGTTAAAATACGCCCATTATGATTTTCAGGAATGCAGTTTGAGTTAATCATATAGTTTCAATGAGAAACTAAAACACAAAGATATTGTGCTTGCTACAGCAAAGAATTACTAAATTGTTGAAATTGTTTCAGTCTAATGTCTGCCAGTCAACTGAGCCTGACAGTAAACTGTGTTATGGTCACTAATGGCTCTGGATTTAAAACACTTCTTTCAAAGAAGAGAGCATGTTCTCTTGAGATTTTCTCTAGCCGGCTCCACTGGAGGCAACAATGAGCTGGACTGACACTGCTGAGAACTAAAAGAGAAAAACCTCAAAACGCCCACTGTCACACTAAGAATTTGTAACTATAGAGACTGGAAAACATCAACATTGCAATGAAACATCCACAGAGTTTCAGATTGATATTTTCCTTGACTGGAATCAAAACTTGAATGACCTACTGTAATTTTTTCAGAAGACAATTCTGCTAATCCATGATGTTTGGGCGCCTACTCTTTATATCAGCTGTTAATGTACTTATAAAAGTGAGCAGGAATCACAATCAAGTTAAAACCATTTAAGGACACCATGTGGTGCCTCAAGTAAAACTTCCAAGAACAACTGGAAGAGGACCGAGATTTCGTAAGCCAGAACACATGAGTGAGTAGTGTTTCTGGGCTCAACAGAGAGCGTGTCTGGTTAAAGCAGCGCTCCTGACACACATGATCTTGTTTAAGCCTCTGGATCTCAGGTCAAAGCCAAGAACTTGTTTGAGCGCCTGACTTCAATACAAAACATGTTTGATACTCAGTTAAGCCTCCTCCTCTGTTTTTCCAGCGTTACAAAGCAAACAGTATATGACCACTGAGGTCAAGCCCCGAGGCCTGGGCTGAGAACCAACATTATGCTAACGAGGATTTGAATGTACACTACAATTGATTACGTAACCAGCACCTCAGTTAACTTTGCCTTCTACGTTAACATGACTGACATTTATAAGCTGCGACTGGTGAAAACACGAGTGCCAATAAAAAGTACATTAGAGGCAGAAAGTTTAATCTCACAGGGAGCGTGAACAAGTTGAGCAGTGAGGGTGAATTACTCATCTACACGTTGAATAGTTGTCATTCCTTGCCTTTGGCAGAACTGCCACTTGCCAGCATATTTCAGAAAAGTAGGTTTCCTTCAGAACCACCGTGAAAACAAAGCTGGGTCTATTTAACTCAACCTGAGGCATGATGGGACAAGTTTAGAGCTTAAGAGGGGATGCCTATAAGTTTGCCCAAGGAAAGCTTGTGCACAAAACAATCATGTAAGTGGACTTGTGAAGCATTAATACCTCTAATTTTCTGCACACATTTAGCTCTTTTGTTGCCTGGACCTTATTTGTCTATCTGAGTATGAGGCTTTGTGATGTAGGCCTGCAGGGTCTGCTGACAGCAGCGTCAACACCAGAAGTATACAGACTACAGAGCCTGTCTTTTCACACTCCTATCAGATGTGCATTAATTTAATTATACCCAATGCCTGACAACTGCCACTGTTTACGTTGCATTGCATTACACAGCTGTGCATGTGGTGGGGCCTCGGCAGTGAGCCAGCAGAGGATAAAGGAGGAAGTGCTAAAGTTGAAACTGAGCATGCATCAAAGCTGCTGGCATGGCATGACTTAAATAGAAATGTCTTCTGAGGGTTTACTTCTGAATTTAGGATTGACAGCCAGAGGGATAAAACACAAAATAAAACTAAATAAAAATGCAGCTTTAAATGTGTAAAATGAAGCATTGGATTAGACAGTGGCTGGAAAAGATAATAATCAAGCTAATAAGAAAATAATTATACATCGTGGTGTTTATTCTGTTCTCAGATACTTAAAGGAAAAATGTGCGACTTTTTGATCCAGTAGATGTCGCCCTTGAGCGCCAGCATGAAACCAAAACAAAACTTGCGCTGCATTGTTGTGCTAGCATGCTAACGCTAGCGCTCTTTATTTTGTTTGCATCTTCACACTGATTTAAAAACACTTACGTGACATTCATTAAGCAGTGAGTACAGTATGTTATTCTTCTTTTCTCTAGTCCCTCAATTAAACAACTTTTATACGCAAGGGGATGAGCCGGCCGGCCGTCTCGTCCGTGTAAACCCGCTGTAGATAATGCTCAGAAGAAATGCTCTAAGAATAAAGATATCAGAGAGGAGAAACACTTAGACAATAGTGCAGCAATGCTAGCAGTGAGACTGTTTTGGCACACTTGACCTCTTAGCTTCATGCTGACATCTTCATGCTGACATGCCAATAGTTGCAATGCTAATGTTTGGATTTCAGCTCGCACAATGTCTAGCAATGTTATGTTTTATGGACTAAGACTAAGGAGACGTAATGGAAAAAAAAAAAAACAGTCAACAGTGATATCATAACTAAACTCTACTGCCAGGGGTGTCTGCCAAGTGAGCAGGGTTCCCACATGGGGGTCTTTTATTTTGACATCTCAGTCTGTTGTAGTGTGTCTGACAAAATGCTACAGTTAGGCTGAGGAGCCATGAAATAAATTACAGAGAAAGTTACAAAAGTCAAAGTAAAATATGTAATGAAATTGCAGGGAAGTTGTTATAATACAGCTATTAAATTGTTTGCATAAATAGAGTTACAACACATTATGTTATGGTAATAAGTTACTTTGGTGAACTGCCCCCTTGTGTCTTAAGTGTCACAAATATTTTTAAGCAGGTATTCACTTACGCAACATCTCCTGTGACTTCATTGGGTTTGTCTATGACATGACGCCACATAAACCTGAATCAAATAAACCCATTATTGTCCAATACCAAAGGCCATTGCCAAGATCTACCAAAAACAGTCTCAAACAAAGCTGTGGTTCTCCTCGCTTCCATGGAAACAAAAGCAGCCCTTGGCAGAACAGTGTACCCACAACAGAGAAAAAAAAAAAGAAGTGAAGCATGGGGCTCATTACAGGGCTCGTATTTGTGTCATTAATATACTACTGTTTTTTGTTGAGAGCGGAAATCAGATTATCCTGTGCAAACAGAGGTAGCAAAACAGTGACAGTGAATAGTAATAAACAATAATGGGCCTTCAAGTACTCCCACAACACAACAAATCATCTCAGTGTCGATTAAGACATGACCTGTTATCCTCTCTAAACAAGGATGGACACTGTGTGTGTGTGTGTGTGTGTGTGTGTGTGTGTGTGTGTGTGTGTGTGTGTGTGTGTGTGTGTGTGTGTGTGTGTGTGTGTGTGTGTTCAGTCAGTGACTGGTGATGGTGTGTCAGCTGCATATTTCTCTAAAAACAGTTTCATTTCCTGTCACTAAGATATGGTTTCATGTGCTTCCCTTTTTCATTTTTTAAAACGCATCATAAAAAATGTTGACACTTAGTCTCTTTGAATTGTCAGGGTAGTTTTCTATGTCATCAGGTCTCTGTATTAAGAGTCAACATTAAATAGTGTCATTTATCAACTTAATAGCTCAGCCAGGGTCCGAAATTAACTTATTGACTCACCGGCCAAGGTGGCAGGTGGATGAAAAAATTCACCGGGCCAAACATATTTTTTTTTACCGGCCAAAATAACAAATTTTGTTTTTGTGTCCTATACACATCTGTTACACTACATTTAATTGAGAAGGCATTATGTTTTGTTTAATCAATAAGTCACAGACTTGATCGATTCGATGTCATCTGATCAGGAAATTGAGAAATTGAAAAAAATATATATTTGCTGGCCTTTATTTGTCCGTCCTGCTCCCCTCTGAACTGCCCCTGCATTACAGACTAAAAACAAAAATCCATCAGAGAAAAAAAATATATTAATACTCAAAACAAGTTTAATCCTGATTTAGCTTTGACAATATTAGACACTTAATATAATCAGCCTGCTCATTAGTGGACGTATATCTCTGACTGCTCCTGCTGCACGTGATGGAAGGGAAAATCGGAGCGTGCATTCAGCATCCGCTAGGATATCTAAAGTGTTTGTAACGCAGCGCTGTTTCACAGAGTCTGTGTGGAGATGTTCACACACTTATTACGATGCCATCGCTAAGTTAGCTGCAGACACGGAGAAAAGTCGACCGCAGTGTTCTCGTTTTGAAGTAAACAGGTGCGCGTGGTGGCTGGTGTGTGTGTGTGTGTGTGTGTGAGCGTGATTTTGCGCTGCAGTGTATGTTGGTGTGTCTCAGTGTGCCCCGCGATGCTCACAGACAGTCATGACAGCAGAGAGAGGAGCAGGGAAAAGTAGCTGCAGCTAGGCTACATCAAACGCAATGAATACTCATAGCATAGTTTTTATGACTTTTTGATCAAACATTTACCCGCACTGTGGCGCTTGGCGGGTGTTAATTTCGGACCCTGAGCTCAGCGATTCATTCAAAATGCCTCCATGAATAAGTTATTTTAGCAAAACATTGACACAGTGGAGACTGTTCCATTGTAGAAACCAGGCCAGTGAGGCTTTGTGACAGATAGCACTGTCCACATAACTCCTCAGCTGCTTTCATCCACTTCCAGGATGAAAGGAAAAAAAGTAAACTTGCAATAGTATTGTTTGCATAGCTCTGGCCATTTTCTAGAAAACATGGACACATTTACAAAAAAAAACATCACGTTTCTGAGGTCTTGAAATGATAATAGGCATTTAATACAGAAGACAAAATGTACTGTCAGATGATCAGACCAGCTGAAAACAAATAGTTTTACCAGATCACTTACTGGGAAGTGAAAAATCCACTGTAAGGCAAAAAAAAACATCACCATCAGTGCCTGTTCAAAATATTTTTAACACTTCCCATCTACTCTCTGCTACAACTACAACTATACACCCAACATAAACACCTACTGTTTGTCCAACTCCATCCAAAAGCATTGTACATTTCTACCAAACTTTCAAATCAAATGCAAATGAATGCTATTTGACCATCAACTCTGTTGACTAGAAAATGTAACATCAAGTTGAACAGTTAGCAGCATTAATTCTCCAGCAGCATGCCATTACACCACTACAGAAGAAGTGGGTGCAACATGAAAAGGTAATTAAAAAAAATGTGGCAAAACCCTTTAATAAACATGATCAAATTGAGAGACAGTTCCCTCGGATCTCTTGAGTTCCGATGTTTTTATTTATATGCATATTAATTAAGACGTTCAAGTCACATGTATGTTACATCATTATTTGTTAACTCTGTTTTAATTTTACTTTGTTGAACTTCGTTTTGAAATTGACCAACTTTAATCCCACGATCCAAACTAAAATAGCTTTTGCTAAATATTAAGATTTTAAATTGGATTTTCAGTTTCCACTTGAGGTGTTTGTATGGACTGCTGAAACATTTGCGCAGAACAGGTTGATGTTAACCCATTTGTCTAAGTAGCCCAGATCTTCCAATATATTGGCCTTTAGCAGTTTATCTTTGTCGCATTCTTCATATAAATATCTGTGCGCGTGTGTGTATAACTGATGAACTCCACAATTTAGCTGGTCCATTAGATGACAGTGAAGATGCCAAAGCTTATAAAAGTAAAAACGCAATTCAACCCAAGTCTTCAAGAGACACAGACAGTAAATGCTGTTTTAAGAGAGCATGTTAAGGAAAGGGCCTGGTGCAAAAGCAGTGAGAAGTTTCAGAGAAAGACACAATCCTGCACTTGCTGCTGAGCTTTGTTTCCAAACTCAATCCATGCACGTGGAGAAAGCAAAGCTCGCAGCTACTCAACACTGCACACATGTTGTTACACTCTGCAGGCCTGTCCAGTTCAATCCTTTAACGTACTGTACCTATCACTGTGGGCCTTTGAGTCCCTTAATCTGCTGCCAGACTGGAAGACCTGGTAGAAAGCCTTGGAGGGGTTCCTGCGGTAACCACATTGAGGAAGAAAGTCAGAAAAGACAGAAAGATTGAGGAGATGAAACAGTTAAAGCAGACCAGAGTTTGATTCCTAGAAATATTTTCTATTTCGCAATTCAATTTCCCCTCACAAAACCCTTTTTGCTCAGATTGTGCAGTAAACCTGGCAGTAGAGAGGACAGTAAGATTTCCATGAAACATATAAGGCATACAGGCAGAGTAAAACAGAGCAGGAGAGAGGGAGTCTCGACCTCAGCAAAGGAATTTATGTTTAAAGGTGGGGACAACCTCATAAAGTGGTCCCTCAGGCCATTCACCTACAGTGCGCCGGCCATTCCTCATGCTCAGTTTGTCTTTGCTTAAAACCAAACACACAGGGTGAACAAGGCAACTTAACCTCTGCTTTTTAACTGAGAAAGTGAAATATGTTTTTGTTATGGAGGTGTTGTTGGTTAATTCATAGAGTTAAAGCTGAAACCCTTTGACTTTTTCTGGATCAAATACTTTCATGTTATGGAATGTAGCTTTTAAAATCACCTCCTAGGTTCCTGGTGATTAACAACAAGTACACTCTGTTCTGTGCCAAGGGATGTATATTCGGGGAAGGGGAAAGGAAATCCCCACACTGACCCCTGCACACATACAAAAACGCTCATTTAATCTACTCCAGGCTCGTGCCTTTCAAAACTAACTTCACCCCCACATTCATATAAATGTAAACGCACACGGACATGACTACACACACACACACACACACACACACACAGACACACAGACACACAGACACACCAACACAGGGGAATGAGGAGTTGATTTACAGCATGTGTGAATATTATAGCAGCCAAGGCTCTTTTCCTAGAAATCTCTGGCACAAACCCGCCTTGTCACATTACCTCACGGCTAAACACTCTCACAAACCTCCCCCTATGCCTCTGCTTAATTTTACTTTTGCGGGATATGGCGCAAGAAAAGCCTCCACATGCGCACACGTGTGGCAAGCACACATCCCCACAGAAAACATCTCTTTTTTTCCTTTTAGCATGTCTAAAGCTCAGCGCTGTGTACGAGCCAGCTATGGTCTGTAATCATGGAGGTCAGATGACTTGGAGTCCAGCGACCTCTTCATGAATGAGGCAAGAACTGGAGATGTCATCATTCACTGTTTTCAAGTAGCACACACTTGCCTCTCAAAGGCTCTCTTTGTAGCTCTAAAATGTAACATGTCAATATCCATTTATGAAAGCCTGTCTTTGTAAATGTGTTGAGCAGCAGTGAAAGTGCTGTCTCCCCCATAAAACCAGAGTATTAAGAGAAGATATGTATGCACAGGGCAAAATCCCCTTCTGCACCCCTCGAAGCGCTAACCCAAAACACAGTTGCAAACGATCAGGCCTTGCCCCACACTACCTCTAAGCAAAAGATTTGACCTGGCAGCAAATGAAAATAACCTTTTAGAGCATTCTTGCTGGCTGATGTCACATATCTAGCTGGAGCATGACACATGGTTTTTCCTTCAGCGAGCCTGTGCTGCAAACCAGAAGCCGCGTCAAAGGTTTAGTTTCACAGTGCTGAACCTCTTAATAACCCTGCTAACTCACTGAGCACGAGAAAACCCTCAATAGCCTTAAGTGACCAGACGGAATTGGGAGTGAAAGTGCAAGAAGAGGTAAAAAAAAAAAAGTCAAGTACAAACAGATTTGACTCTTTTTGGTGTTTACAGCAGAGATTTGAAACTCATCTGCTGGTTAGGGCTATGCATCCTGTGTTTCTAGGGTCAGAGGAGTAGTTAGCTGGGAGCTAACAAAGCCATTTCCAGGCATCTCAATTTAACAAAGCTTTATTCAGGCTTTTATGTGGGGATCTGAGGTAAAACTGAAGAAGTATATAGACAGGTAGGGTAACTAGTAGACAGGGGTACAAAGACAGGAGAAATAATGTGTTGAAAGCTCTGTGTTGGTGCTCACAAGGCTTCAGGTTCTCTGCACCATCCATCATCTGCCTCAGAGCAGAAGTAGGTCAAAACTATTTAAATTTCAGCTGCCCTATGGGAGTTTCTTTCAGTGAGAGATGAGGCACAGAGGAGCCAGAGCCACTACATGATTACAGAATGGCCAACTGAGGAGATTAACATCCCACCAGCATAGGTTAATGCCAGGACACTCAAAACGCTCCTTGGCAGGAACCTAAAGGTAGTTCAACTTTCTGATCCTAGACCATAGTATTCCAAAGAGGTTCCTTTCTCCTTGGTACTTCCAAAAACTATAAAAGCACAAAATGGTCAAACAGAAGCGTCTTTAATATGAGCAGGATTACATTCAGGCTACAAGTAAACACTGTTTTCAGTATCAAAATATCAAGAAGCAGGGACAGAGAGCATCAGTCATGCAGCCAACCTCTGTTAACCGGAAAACTAGCAACTAAATTAGTAAGAGAAACTGGTCAAACGTCACAGCAAGTGAGAGAAAATGTACTGCAATGTAAGTTATTTGCAAATGTGTTTATAGCCACAGTTTGTTAAATGGGACCCCACCCACAATGTTTCACACAAAGGTTATTTTGTAAGAGTATTCCTTTCGACTCCCAACTGCATTTAATTAAAAAGAAAAAATACAAGATACTTGTGTCCGAGTAGTTACTACTGTAGTTGTTAATAGACTTTTAAATGTCATGTAAAAGTACTGACTGAAATAAAAAATGCAACTCCTTGTTACTTTGGAAAAAGACATCAGGCTTTTTTTTTTTTGCATCTCATCCCTGTGCTTACTGGCACTACATGACCCCTTTGCCTCATTGGTTCAAACAGTACAGCTGTGACTTTCTCCATGTTTGCTGTGATGTAAAACCTTTTTTTTTTTTAAATGATGAATACATTTTCTGACCAGCTGGTAAAAAGTGGAGGAGTCTTAGTAATGATTCAAATCATTTGAATACCACTTCCCAAAAACAAGACAAAAACCATTTTCTCAGCTAAGCTTATCTGCAGCGCTGTGCGGCACATCCACACTATAAACTCTACAATGAGCTAATGACGTTTTCCTGCCTGTCAGAACAATGGAGGGCCTCCATACCTGGGGTGGAGGTGATGACTGAATGAGGCCTACAGACATGTAGGCCTAGTACAGTCAGTCCAACCAGAACAATACATCTTTCTGTTTGTAAAAAGCTCAGAGGCTGAGAGGAGGCCGGGGTCATGCAGCTGAAACGACTTGGCGAGTGTTTGGTTTTAATATTTTTTCAAGTTCCTTATCTTCAACAAACACAAACAATACATTACTCTATATGATGACAAACACAATATTAGATTGCCACTCATTGCCACTAATGGGCCTCCATACATGTGTTGTGGTGACCGTGTCTGAAGAGACTCTGTCCTCTGCCTGGATTTTCATGTTCATGTAGTATATTGACTGACTTGTTTAACTTTTAGCCTTGTAAGCATGTCATGATTATCATAACAAAATAACAAACCACAGCTCAATAAGCACGGCGTAAACATTCTATGAAAGTTGGTGAAAATGACTAAAAAGCAGACAGCAGAAACAACAAATCTGTGGCATTGCCACTTTGTATTTAGATCATTCAAACTTAATGTAATAAATAAATTGTGTTCAGTTTAGTTAAAGCTCCTTAAAAGTGGTTTTAGTTTAATTCATGGTAATAAAAGAGGCTGCAGTTTATGAAGCCTTGGACAAATTACACCAAACCAAACATTTCATTCGAGCCTGAGTGATGTATTACAATCATTATTAGTGCATGTTTTCATATAGATGCCAATATCAAAACTTTAGTAGATAATACATTTAAAAAGCTTGGAGAAATCTAAAAATGTTATCATGACTTACTTTGTTCAACTTGAGTGTCAGCACTGACTGAAAAACATGTAGTGGTGATATGTACTGGGATTGGTTCACAATAATGAATCAGTCCTATAAGGTGCAGTCTGCAGATCATTTTAACAAAAAAAAAAGTTGCTATATTGGCTGATTATCTGTAATTAACTTTTTCTTTTGATTAAATAAAAAAAAAATATGTCTGTCTTTTTGGATTTTTGCATCCTTTCTGGACTTCTCGTGAAAAAGCTCAATCAGTGGAGATACACTGTTTAAAAGACACAAACATAGGCACCTACCTCACTGTTACTTCCGAGAAGGACATCTTTAAAATAAAAAAATCTGTCTACAACACTCGTCAGCACTGCATGACTTCTTTGCAACATTTGTTCAAACATTCAATTTCGGCAGTAGCTAAAAGCTTTTACTTAATTTTTACTTTTTGTGTGTGTAGTTTTGTATTATTTTGGTATTACCCTTAAAAGAACTACATAGTTGGGCTCAACACTACATGCTTCATTTAGATATCATTTATTGCAGTGCTGCATTATTCTTTTTTGTGTGCATATAGACTTGCATCTGAGTGTGCAGTAATGAGTAATAGAATTGCTTTTTTACAGATACTCGAGGTGCTGCTGCTCAGCTCTTTGCAGTTGGGTAAAAATGTGCACGGCAAATGTCATATGATATGACCAGAGAGCCCCAGTGCGGAAGCTGGTAGAGAGCTCAGGAATATTAAATGAATAGAAGGTGGAGAGCGGTGTGAGGGACTCTGGTTGAAAACAGGATACAACAGTAAAGCAGAGGTCACAAAGGGGAGGGAAAGACCCTGTGGAACATGTTGTCTCTGTGTCACTATCTCACACATGCACCCACCTCTTCCACAGTGACTACAAACGAATATGCTGGCATCTGTATGGTGAGTTGGTCTGAATATAATGGCTCTATTCCTCATTGAGCCGAGCAGCCCCCACTCCCAACTTGGATACTTGTGCAACCCATCCACTTTCAAAAACACACCCCTTATCCACCCACATGGACACAGGCGCTCGATTCACAGTGGCAGTAACGCTGGCCAGGACTCCCCTCCCCTCTCTTACCTCCTAAGGAGTCTGATTTTACATAAGCTCTCAGTATGAGGACAATAAACCATACCTCTTCAGCTGAGTTCAATTACACACTCATAATTAATAATGTATGTTGCCTTTGCAACATACACACACACACACACCACACACACACACCACACACACTAAAGATTCCATACATTTATACAAATGTTTCTGTTTTGAGAGAGAGAACTCTGTGAGTGCAACAAAGACATTACTACAATAAAGCGATGTCATTTAACGGCTTCAGTTGTTGAAGCCACCTGGGAAACATTAAGCTGAGCGAGTATGAGAACAACATATTTAACCTCAGAGTCTGTATCTCTACTGTTCTGCTTTAATTACTTTCAGGGAAAACTACAGGGTGGAGGAGGACAGGGACAAACATGAAGGCTTTCCAAATGGACACGAGAGTTTTTTCAGGTTGTGCAAGCTGTGTCAAAACATTGTGTGGTTGTTTGTAAGTATAATATCTTTATATGCAATACGGAATATAGATAGAACTACTTAAGAATCCAATTTGAGGAGAAATTGTGAGTATTTTTGTTCTATGGTGCATGGGGAAATAAAACAAAATAAACAGTGTAGTGGAAATGCAGATATTAAGCAACATAAACATGGGGGTGTATCGACTCGAGTGTAGCTAAAATGCCTGCTGAAGTGAGGCACAACAAGTTTCACTCTGCTGCAGCTTCCTCCACCTCTTCTGAGCATGCCACAGCTTCTGCTGCACAGGAATGTCATTCAGCTCTTCATCTGTACATGAACAACTGTCATGCTTCATCTGTCACTCAAGCTGTGGGGCAGCAGCAGGTACAGAGTAGGGGCTGCACCGATGCTGCACTCGTGGTAACTGACTTGTTGAGCCTACCCACAGCACTTACAGGAGAAGTGTGCAAAACTACTACCCATTGAGTTGAGTGTGTAACCACCACATCCAAAGGCACTTCACAGAATACCTAGTTGTATTGCAAAAGAAGAAGGCCACTACGTGACACAGAACACAGTTGGTCGACACACCCCACTTTCAGGTCTCTTATCGGCAGAACGGGGGCACAGTGGAAAGACTACTGCTCAATGTCTGATAGGGCTCAGCTGTCGTAAGATACCCCTGCTCTTATCAGCCTGTGAGCTGGGACCTCTCACAAGTACAACGTATACACTGCCTTGAGCAAGTTGCATTGTCTCACACCTGAACAATGTTTTAAAGGGAAAATTTGTTTCAAAAGTGTATTATAATAAAAATGAAATTTACTGAGATGCTGAGGATTAAAAAAATGTATCGAAACATGTGTCGTAATTGTGTAGTAACTTTTTGGAAATACTGCCTACTTATTAATTTTGGCACTTTTTACAGGAATCAAATAACTACCACAATCTCATCTATGTGAGGGATTCACAGTGCACGAGACCTGAAGCAAAGATACTGCAAAAGGTAAAGGGTTGACGTTTGCCACTGCTGTAATGAAAACAAAACATTATTTTACTTGTGGTCTGACCTGCTTCTCAGTATGATCATTATTAAGAGTTGCAGCAATGGTTGTGAGACAAAGTTAACTTTAATAAGATATGATAATATCCTCTGACCACCACATCCATATACGCCACCTGTCAGCATGTCTTTTAGAATGATGTCATTTTGCTAAAACGTAAACAATGCAGGCCAAAAAAAAGGGCTAACAGCGAAACTAACAGAATAAACTGTATATACTGCCAGTCTTCTGCAGAATTGTGCACACTTAAGCTCGACACTTTAAAGCATTTATTTATCAACTACAAGAAAGGCAAAGAATATTAATAAATATAATACATTATTATTAACTTTTCCGAGTAGCACTTTTGATATAGAAGGGGGCAATTCTCTCAATTTTGACTGAAAGGAGTTGGAATTTGAGAATTGCCTGTTCTTAGGTTAGTCATGCATGTACAAGCATCAGCCTTATGTCCTCAAACCACTGACACGTCACATGAGATGCGTGTAAAGCAACTTCAATATATTTTGTCTATTTAATGACACAGGAAGGAAAAGAATAAAGCTGTGATGACAAACTGAGCGGCTTCCCTAAAGAGAAAACATGTATCAAAAAAGGCTTGAGGGTATATGTGTGATGCTGTAAATGGAAACCACTGAGAGACTTCAAACACTGCATCATTTCCGCTTCTGTATGACGTGTACTAAAGGTGAAACAAATCACTAAAACAAAGGCACAGAGAGAAAGATCGCCTTTTGGAGGAAACATATGCCATAGCATAGCAACTCATAAAAGAAATAAATGTTTTCTGCAGAAACACATGTACACAACATAGTCATGTTCTATTTTTAACAGAGTAAATGAAAAATGTTGCTATACTTACCTAAGTCTCTACAAAGAATGATCCCCTACTCGTTTGTTAAAACTCCAGCATTACATCTACTGTCGTTCATATCTATCTGTTGGATTTTTCTTTGCAATCAATAGGTTCATTTAATAAAAGGATATCTAAAAGGCTGTTCATCTGTAAACACATTCCTAACAGAAGCTTGAAGGTGCTCTTAGTGGAAATCATTCATCATAAATGTGGCAACATGAAAATCAAACATAACTTTGTTTTCTTCCCTAGAGCAGGAACTAACTTATTAAAAAGGTCAGACATGCAGCATGCTGGCCAGGACTAACCCAAGGCAAACAGATAGAAGCTAACTCTGTGCACACACAGTAGCAACACATCTTTTGATGTTTGCAGCCAAGGCCATCACCTCAGACACTGTCATGCTGAACAAGGCCACCACACACAGACAGCTCAAAAACACACCCTTACACACACACAGAATGACAGTATTACAGGTGGAGGTGGTGTGTGTGTGTGTGTGTGTGTGTGTGTGTGTGTGTGTGTGTGTGTGTGTGTGTGTGTGTGTGTGTGTGTAACAAGTTGTTGCCTGTGCAGTGGAGGGTCGGATGTTCTCTTGGACTGTGCTACACTCAGCTTGCTTCTTTAGACTCTAATAAGAAACAACAAACATTAAAGTTCCTTCCTGTGTGCCACATAACTCTTCCTTCTACACAGCCCCCTCCTTACCATACATCCCTGAAAATGAAGGCTATTTGTTCATCATACTCACTGCTTTGGCTGGGGCTTTTAACCTTGCTGTGGTCACAGAAAGTGACCAAACATCCCAGCTGCAACACACTTCTCCCCTGAAAGAGGCACATTTGGGCTTGCATGGTCTGTATGTGAGTGCAGTCCAGGGCGGGGAAATTAATTGCGTTTCAATTACAATTTTGGCTTACCAGTATCATGGAAACAAGATAATCAAGATTAAACGATTACTTTGCTGCATGCTGTGTTTCACTCTTTTTGAAAATAGGTTTTGTTATGTATTATAAATGTTTCAAAGTGTTTTTGTTATGTTTTGGCCACAAGAGTAAATCACCACTAACTCAAAAACATAGTTAATTATTTATTAATATTATCATTTTGATATATATTTTTTTTACTTATTTATTTTCATTTAATTATTGTTTTTCAAAATGTTCCCAATGTTAATGTGTTAAGAGTGTTTACGTTTGATAAATGCAGGTGTTGTAAAATCAATGAGTAATCGTGTTTAATAATCGTGCTTTCAATATCAATCACAATGTGATTATTACTTCTTTCTATAATCGAATAGTCCTACAGTGTATTATGAATCATGTTGCAGAGACATGGTGATAGTTTTCTAACTCATCAAAATGAAGATCTATAGACTGTTACCTGTCCATCTCCCCGTCAACAGGTATGTGAATTCCAAACAGGCTGTTGACAGTCGGCGTGGCAAGCTGCAGGCTCTCAGGCATAAAGGGCTTCAACACTTCCTTCCCAGAGATGATAGGAGACTGTGCATTGAGGAGACCCTCTGATTTCCCTACACCACCCTCTGCAAGTCCAAACCCAGCTCCTGGGAGGCCCTGGGCCCCCAAACCCACTGAAGTCTTGCTTAGGGGAATCTGACCTGGAGGCAAACTGGAGGTTATCACATTTGGCATGGCTGCACTGGAGGCACTGGGCACTGCAGCGGGCACCGTGGTGGGCACACTGGAGCTTGCTGCGATGGCAGGCACATTTTGTACACCAGAGGATGTAGATTGGAGGTTGAGAGGTTGAGGCTGTCCAGCTGTTGCGTATGAGGATCCACCAACCAGTATAGAGCCTCCAACAGCTCCCATTCCTCCAGTCTGCTGCAAGAGGCCCAGAGCTGACTGTCCTAAAGGTACAGATCCACCTCCTGCAACTTCTCCAACCTGACTTGGCACAGATGCCCCCCCAGCGGCTCGAGGCATGACCAAAGAAGGCCCTGCAGACAGGCTTGACACTGGGAGGGAGTGCCCAGCACCAAGAACTTGCTGCTGCTGCTGTTGATAGTACTCTGTCTGGTTCTGTAGAAGTCCAGACATCTGGTTGCTCAGGTGGTGTCCCAGAGGAAGCTGCTGCTGCTGCTGCTGCTGCTGCTGCTGAGGAGGGTAAGAGATGGGCTGGGCTTGGGGGGGCATGATGGGGGATTTCTGTATGTTGACACCAGGTTGAGGCAAGCCATTTTGACCAACAGGCAACACGCTCTGAAAGGCAGAAGGCTGGACACCTCCAACGGAGGGCTGAGGGCTGGAGAAAGCACTCTGTGAGACCGACCCGCTCACGCCCTGCTGCCGGGCGCTGTAGTTGTGATGGTGGAGCTGCTGCTGTGATAATGTATCAACTGACTGCATGCGGGATGATGAAAGAGAAGCATCCGCCACCGACCCCAATCCCTGACCAGAGAGTGTTGCCGGGGCAACCACAGATCCTCCTGTAAGCCCGAGCCCACTGTCCCTGTCCGCCACAGGGTCTGGTGCTGTATTGGCATGCCTAATGCTATCAGCAGTCCTACTGGCAGCAGCGCTCTCCGAGTCCTTCTCATAAAACTCTGTACACGTCCACCTGCCTCTTCTGAAGGGTTCTCCAGTACCATGATCAAGTTTGATGACCCTGAATCGAGAAGTACAACTCACCGTGGAGGTGGCAGGAGGAGCTGCACTGCTGATCACTGCAGCAGGTTGGGAAGTGCTTACTGACACACCAGCTGGAGCAGACTGTTGCTGCACTGCTCCAGACTGCGTGGAGAGGGGTAAACCACTTGAAACGCCGATCCCCGGCGGCTGCTGACTGACTTGAGCTGAGCCAGACACTCCCACTTTTCGAAACTCCCCGATGGGATTACTGGACAGCGCGGGCAGCTGACCGGGTTGAGGTATGTGTGATGAGGCCATGACACTGGTCGCCTCCGGCTCTCCGACATTATTCAGGGCTTCTTCGGATGAACTTCTGTCACACGCGGGCTCGTACTCAGCACGAGACATGTCGTATATTTCCGAGGACACATCTTCAGTCCGGGACTCGTCCGGGTCTTCCAGACTCTCCGTGTCGTCCGTGGCACCTATAGCCTCAACCTGGGCCTGTGTCACACTGGTGATCTGGAAACAACTCTTTTTCTTGGCCGGCATTTTCGACATGTTGACAGTCGGCTATATGTATCCTCCGTCAAGAAAGAGACGCAGCTTCTCACAGCTCAGATCATGTTAAACAGCAACATTTGCCAAGCTAACTGTTATCAAGACGAATCTACGCCATCCCTCTTCCTCTCTCTGTCTCCTGTTGCGTGTCATGAGCTCATAACGCAACGCCACACTTGGTTTTGTCCAGCAATGCGGCTGCAGACGACGATACCTGCAGTGTGTACTTTCAGCTTTGGGACAGTCCGAACCGGCCTGCTCGTCTCCCGGGTTAGGGTTAGGGTTAGTCGCGGAGCTACTTAAGGCTGAGGAGGGCCCACAGCCCTCCACTCACCGAGCTAGCTAGCAAGTCAAGCCAACTGGCTGCTGCACACTCCCCCTACGTCGGAACAAGTATGTGAGACATCTTCCCGAAAGCAGTCCTTTGAAGCCGCTCACTTCACCCGCTCAAAGTCATTCGGTGGCGACCCTCACTCTACAGTCGAGTTAACAAAGCCTCCTAAATTTTCACAGCTTTTGAACAAATTTATCTCCAAACAGCGACAACAGTTACCTCCCTCTGTCACTCTTGGACAAGATGGCTATGTTGTATGCAACCGCGCTGCATCGTGGGTAGGTAACGTGCGCAATGGTGTTTACGTATGAGGCGTCCCATGGTGCGTTCATTACACTGTCGGAATTAGTAGATTTACGATAAGCGAACCGAATATAATTGGGAAAGTCAACATTTACTGAGAACATTTGTTCAAGTATGTTCTTTCCATATTGTCTTTATAGTTTTTTTTAAGTATTATCATTATTATTATTATTTTTATTATTATTTAGGATCTATATATATATACACACACACACACTGTACATTCTATATATTATTATATTAGTCTATATTATATAACATTTCATTATATTACACTATATTATATTATATTATACTACATTATATTATATAACTGCACTCTGCATTACTGTGGTAAAACACTGCCTCTCTTCTCTGCTGTTTACATTACTTGCTGCTATTTATCATACCAAGTCACTTTAATCATCACTTGTCACTTTATCTTGTCATTCTCTGCAAATACTGTCTCAATTCCCTGCATAGTTAACTTCATTCATCTTGTACTTGTATATACCACCTGTTTTTATTTGTATCTATCTTATCTATTCTGTTTAATGTGTATTTTGAGCGTTCTTGTCTGTGCTGCTGCAACGCCCGAATTTCCCCTCTGGGGATCAATAAAGTATTATCCTATAGTCTTATTTCTCGTCAAAGGTTCCATGGCATGTCGTCGGGAGACTTTCTGGTAAAAAAAAAAAATAAAAAAGCCATCAGTGTTGAAACACAAAAGTATTCCAAAACAATTATGGAAAACGTATAATCATTAAGTTATTCTCCAAGGCAGTGTAAGGCAACACAACAACATGATGAAATTAAATTACTTTAATCTCACTAGTTTCCAGTATCTTGTAGACTAAAAGATACATCAGATAATCAAAAACTTAAGGCAAGGCCAGTCTTATTTTTATAGGACATTTCAGCAACAATTGCTGCTTACTGACAGACTTATTCAAAACATGTTTTGATAGAAAGTATTTCTTGTTACAGACCTAACTTCTGGGCCCCTATACCTCCCAATAATAGGCCTAAATGTTGTAATATGAGGTAACATAGCAGAACTCAGTTTAACAAGGTCAGATAATGATGTCCTTGATTGGTCATATTCTCAATCCTTCATACAGATAAAGCGCAAAACAGAAACTGAACAAAGCAACTTTATATTTAAACCATGATGGCATTTCGTTGTATTTAGTATTTGTCACCTAAATGAATAATTTATGTCCTTTTGTATCATATTTGTATTTGATGTTGAATAGTCATGAATAATTTTAATATATATTAAAAGCAACATTGCTGTACATTTAACCTAAGCTCTGTGTTATTTAAATTCTAAATTACAGCAGCTAGCCGAATACTCGCTTTTTGCAAATAGTCAAAGAATTATTTTCTCTGTCAACCTTAAAGATCAGACTTTATTGGAGGTCACCTGAAGGCATCAACTCTCTCGCCCTCCCTCTCTCTTAGTTATCTATGTAAGCTGCAGTGTTACGTTATGCCTGCTGTTATAGTCACAGTCCTTTTACAGGAGCACTTCATGTAATGGCTGTACAATCACCTAATAAAAGCAGGTCCCTATTCAGTTATCGTTTTGTTAAGGTTCGTTGTTGTAATTCTCTGTGTACACTTTACCCAAGAATGTTTTAATGGAACTGAAACGCAGCAAAAAATACTGTAGCCTCTGTTACCCAGGAGGTCTTTGAGTCTGTATTTTACAATCTACGTTCCATTATGCACATTTGAAGCAACTGTTGCAGCTTTGAGGGAATATGGTTGTCATAACCTGGCTCAAAGGCCATGACAAATATGGGTAGGACATATTTAACTGCAAATAATAATAACTTTTTTGTAAAAAAAAAAAAAAAAAGTAAACAACTAAAAAGATATATTCAGACATGGCGAATGTCAGTCATGTAAATGTGAATGTGGGACATAATGAATTGTAGGATGTTGTGCAGCAAAACAGAACAGCGACCAAATTGGACAGATGATGGTTTGGACTTGTGCGGGTAGAATTAGAGAGAGAGAGATGTTAGAGAGTAGTAAATAAGATGAAGTCTGATTACCTCAGGTTTACACACTTTACTGACTTCCTTCTTGACTCTGCCTAAAGTGCAGGACATGACAGGTAGCCATGTAAGCCAACTGTCGCCAACAGTATTTTGTAATTATTTTTTATTTTTTGCAAAGGCACTCACAAGATGTTCCAGTGGTCCTTTTGTAAATTGTACACATTTGTGATTAATCAAGATTTATCATTTAGTCTTGTAGCCTATACTTGCCATTAAGTTGTTTGTGCTGGGGTATTATAACAACCTTGTTATTATAGATTACACCTCGACATAGCAGGATATTCTTTGCCGAATTGGTCAAGCTTTTTCAAAATATGTCATGTTATTGAAAGCCCTATGAGGTTGATTTACCACGCTGAGGCTCAATGATCAGTCCAGTACATCAAGATTACAATACATTTATATCAATTATAAACAAGAACAACAATAAGGACTATTCTTTAAAATATGTATAATTTCCTCCACTGACCACGACTCCAGTTTAATCCTTTTTTCTCTCTTATACTAAACGTATAAAGTATGTCTAAAATTGGAAAAACAATTGTTAAAAGTCCCGTTTTAATGGGTCTGCCTCAGAAATGTTTTACTTGACAGGCTATGACAGGAGTAATTAAAAAAACATGGAGAACACTGCCACCTGTGGCCAAAAAGTGGTATTTTCATTTCAAAGGGGGCATAGTTCTGCTTCCTTTTTTGGTTATTTGGGATGAACCTTGAACTCTCCACCATCTAAGCTGGTTTTATGTTCCTTAGGGATATTGTTTTATGCATATAAATGCCAGTTAATCAACAGCTAATGCAATAAAAAAAACAATAAGCAAGTGAACAAGAACTTGTTGACCTAGAAATATGTTAAAAGATATTTATAGGCCTACAAGAAATAACACAACACATTTTACAGTGAAAAACAGGCTTCATTAACGTATGTATTATATCTCAATAAAATGTCATTCAATCTTTATTTCTTATCTTGAAAGATCCTCATTTTTTTCATTGGGTACAGGGTTTGTTTCTGAAATGCTTAATTTGACACAGGCTCAGTTTATAAGCTCATTTTTGAGCTATTATGAATATTTCTTTGTTCAAATTAATTTGAACTTTGTGTAATTGTGTGAAGTTAATAAACCTTAAGCATCATCATTCATCTGATTTCCTCTTTTTTTTTGCTTAACATATTTTTGTAATTCATCAGCGCTGACCTTGTGTATGGGTTCTCATATAACTAATAGTTCAAACAGGAATAATAAAATAACAGTGGAACTTTGTGCTCTAAGGTCCAGTTTACAGAATAATACAATGTGTTTAAAAAACAATGTCAAATACACTTTTGGTAGGAAAACTGAGGCCAGTGACTATTTTAGATTTGATATCTGATTTGAAAAGAAGAACTGATGATCTTGAAGCTGATTTCTCTTTTAACAGGAGAGTGCCTTCCCTTTCTTGTTGTTGAGTACATTAAACATTTGGGTAGGTTCTTGCTTTGATCTTTGGTTTTGACCAGATAAAGATGAACTATCTCATTAAAAATTTTTTTTTATCCCTCATCCATTTTTTTTTTTTTTGTAAAGATTATCGTGTGTGAAAGGATATAATGCCTTGTTATCAAACCAAAAAGTTATCATTTAACATGCTTATACGATATATGACCATGCATGCATAATGTAATTTGTTCAACCCTTAATGGAAGCCTGTGGATCAGAGTCGGTTGTCTACCTGGAAGGTTGGTGGTTTGATACCCAGCTCCTGTAGCAAACTGACCGATTTGGCAAGACACTTAACCCCGAGTTGCTCCCGCTGCTTCATCAGTGATGTCTGAATGTGTAGAATGGATTAGTTATTATTGAGGGACACTTCCATTCAGCCTCTGTCATCAGTGTGTGAATGGGTTGGTGTGATCTGCGGTGTAAAACGCTTTGAGTGGTCAGAAAACTATGGAAAAGTGCTACTGAAACTCAAATCCATTTACCATTCATTTATGTATTTTGTTTGAAATCAAAGTTATGCTACATTATACAAGATGGGTCAATAAGACCTTAACTGAGATCATGTTTAATTTTCTGTAGCATGTCAGTTCAGAAAATCATCAGTTCAAATTGTGTGTTGGCAACTTTGTGCATTTATCTGTGGGAAATAAGTGGTCGACCTCTCCACAAGTGAGGGTGTGCAGAGTGTATATTCATTATCATAATTGTTTTTTTAATATCTAAGTTTATTGCAGTCATTAGGCCTACACTTGTTTCTTACAATTTATCCTAATGTATTAGCCTTCTTGAGTAATCCTGGCAATGGCTTTGAGCTGATGTAAAAACTTAATTGCCTCCAATGGGGGATCAAGGAAGCCTATCTTATCTCAACAAATTAGGTCCTCAACCATTGGGCTTTGAAGACGATGTTTAGAGTGTTGCAGCTGGTCCCCAAGAGCCCCCAAATAAAACAAAAGTACAATCCACTTATATGGCAGTCTTTGATGATAATTCCTACTAAAACATAAAAAATACATCAGATGAATGAAAGAATGACTGAGCAACGATTCGGTCTGTACACCCCCATCCTCCTCCTTGTGTACCCCGGCATTCCCTCAGACAGTTGACTCTTGGCTTGTCCCTCTTTATTCCGCCGCCTGCTGCCATAAAAGCGCCGGGGAGGGCGCTCATTGTGCGGAGTGATCTGATACGGACTACACCCTGCCGCTGCCTCACTGCCCTGGCTTTCTTTGCTGCCCCAGCCTTGACGTCGGTGAACGTCGAAGTGTGGGTTACATTGGAGACTTCAATTCGTCTGTAGGCTTTTCTCTGAATTGAAATTAATTGGAAACCTTACTTCCAAAGCTGTAGGCATTTTTATATAGCATCAATTTCTTGAACATGTCTTGGCAAAGCTACGTGGAAAACCTGATGGCCGATGGCAGCTGTCAGGATAGCGCCATTGTTGGGTATACGGACGCCAAATATGTTTGGGCAGCACATGCCGGTGGTACGTTCAACAATATCACGGTGAGTAGTCAAAAAATGACATAATCAGAGTGAAATTGTGTGACAACGTTGTTATGAATAAGCCCTCAACAGACGCTCACCGGAATGAAAAAGCGGTAAGACCGTTACCTCGCAGGCTAACGGTACGGTGCTAGCTTAGCGAGCTAGCTAGTTGATGAGTGGCCTGTCTATAAGGAAACACTGCGGGATTAGACCGCGTGTGGATCACATAAGACTCCACTGTCCACAGCTTACACCTCGAACAAATAAATGAAGTGATCAGTTCCCACGACCAACCACCAATTAGGATATTTGCACACAAACGAGAGAGGCCAATTTAAACGCAGAGTAGACGGGGTCTGACTTGAGAAAACGTGCATGCTTTTGTGTGCACGGCCGCTTTGATTAGCTAACGTTAAGCTGCTGCTTTGCCGACTACCTGTGGTCAGAACGGCCTTAGGTGGAGCTCTTTTTAATAATCAAAGGGGGGGCAATCAAGCAGTATCTTCAACCGTGTATCATTTCTGATGGGGGAAGAAAACGTTTTTCCCGTTAATTGCATTGGATGGCTTGGGAGCTAGTCCGCTGCAGAGACGTCACCTTACTTCCGCCAGTTACTGCAGACAAGAGATGTAATGTGTTCAATGAGTTTATGGAACCTATATCAATACATTTGCATATTTTTCGACTTGTATGCACATACCTCATGTAAATTTCAGATTAGAATCACTAATGATGTATGTAGTATGGGCCAGGTAGTTTTACTAATGAATGAAATGGGGCTGCAGAATGGTCGTTTTAACATATTGATTAATCAGTTCATCTATATAATCCGTCATAACAAAAGCAAATCAATTGAAGCAAAACCTGCCAGAGCTCAGGGCTGTGCATATTAATACATATTTTTTTAATTAGCTTTATATTGCCAATATTTTTTCCTTCACTAAAATAGTGCCCTTTGACTTCTGAGGTAAATCATTTACCTTCATGAGGACATCGGTGAACATGTGTTATTTAACATATTGAGCCTTTGTGTCCACTGGGCAACTTGTAATGAATGGTAAATGGACTTTAGATTGTGTAGCACTTTTCTAGTCATTTGACTACTCAAGGCACTTTTTACACCGCAGATGCCCTTTTACACACTGATGGACGAGGCTGTTTATGTAAAGTGTCCATCAGTGTTAACTAATCTATTCATACACATTCATACTCCGCTGCATCGGGAGCAACTTGGGGTTAGGTGTCTTGCCAAGGACATATTCAGATATGGCTGCAGGAGCTGGGGATTGAATCCCTGGTGATTCACAGCCGCCCATCTAACCACAAGCTTCTTTTATTTGAGTACTTCTGACTGAAATTGCAACATGCCTGTGGTTTTTATGTTTTTTAGTCTCAAGAAATCGATGTCCTTATTGGTAAGGATAGAGAGACCTTTTACACCAGCGGTCTCACTCTGGGCTCAAAGAAGTGTTCAGTCCTCAGAGACAGCCTGCATGATGACGGGGACTGGACAATGGACATCAGGACGAAGAGCCAAGGAGGAGAACCTACATACAACGTCTCTGTGGGAAGAGCCGGAAAAGGTACATGTATAGGCTATTTAAAAAAAAAAAAAAATTAATTCACTTTAGTACAACTATGTTAATTTTTTTTTTTTTTTTTTGGAAAAACCCATTGTATTCAGGCTACGTCACATGGGTTTAGTGATTCATGGAAGTGAAATAAACAATTTGGTTTTTTCTAAATGATTTCAAGATTGTTTCTGGATCCAGCTCCTTCAATAAGAAAATTTGATGTTTGTCCGACAAAACATAACATTTAGAGACGTCATCTTGGCATGTAGGAAATGAACCGTTCACTTTCACAATTCTACATGAAATGGACAAAATGATAAATAATTTTTGCAAATTGAGTGATGTAACGTATGTAATAATGACATTTTTGTTTGTTTTTAGGCTTTCTTTGTCGCCAATTAGTAATCTGTGTTTAAGGAAAGCTCGGAGTTGGCTAAAACTAACCATCCTTTTCATAATCAACAATCTGCCAATTATTCATTAAGTATAAAAGTGAGAAAATGCTCATCACAGATTACCACAGACAATACTGTCTTTAAATACTTTATTTTTTTTTTTTTTTTCAGAACCCAAAGGCTCATTATTTACTTAAACAAATTACAAAAAGCACCATCCATATCTTGAAGCTGCAACCAGCAGATATTTAACTTATTCTTTTTTTTGCCTAAAATTGCTGAAATAAATACTTGTTCACATATTCTCTCCAAACAGTGTAATTTTCATTTTGATGTGTTGTCAAATTGTTGCAGCTCCAATGCTCACAAATGACTTTTGTTTATCAGAGCCTTAAGTCATGGACATCAGGGAAAGGAGAAAAAAAAAACATACAGACTTATGAAATCAAAATATCTGATTTGATTGGATAATGTACTCTGTTTGCCTTTTGTGGCCTCAATTCGGAGACTGATATTTCTTTCAAAATAGCATTGTGTATAAATGGCTCGTGTAGCATCACAAGCCATTTAAGTCCATTCAGGTTTAAAGCTAGCGAAGCTGTGTAAGTCTTTTTAATGAATTCTCACTTCATCTTGAAAAGGGAGCAAAAACAATTATTTTATTGGAAACACTGATCTAAACCAAACTCTTTTTATTTCAAGCTTCCAACACTGCCTCATTTCTAACTGTCCCTCTCCTGCTTTGCATGTTGTACTAGAAAGTGAGGTTAAGGTATATTTTTAATTTGCACCCCTAGGTGCAATAAGATTTTTAAATTCTTCACACACAACTGTATGGGAGTTAATGTTTACCTGATTAAGCCCTTGCATGTTTCTTTTGTAGCTGTCTTGACTTTGCAGAATGAGCCAATCATCCCCTTAGTGCTCTATGCTCCTGCAAAACATTTTTTCTTTTTCCTCTGGCTTGTTAATGTTAGGTGAAATCTGGTTTGCTGCTAAAGCAGAGGTCACCAGTAGATGTGCTGATCTATCAAGTGCAATAACCTCCCATAGCTTACAACTGTTGAATTAAAAACGGCTTTCAGTGCCTATTTTCAACCATGTGTTAAAAGATGGCAAGATGAGAGAAAATTGTTAAAGTGAGGGGAAAAAATGGAATCCTTTAATCTGGAAATAATTATTCCCAATTACACTTTCAAATTGTACACTTAGTTTTTTCTGGTTAAATAAAACTAGTTCAGTAGTACCTGATTGCTGTATGTGCTAGCAAAGAAACCCTACAGATAGTTTGCCCTGTATAACACATGGTTGAATATCCATAAATTGACACACTTCTGGTGATGGTACTTCTTACTTGGAATGCTTTTCTTTTTACCTTTTTTCCTTTTTTCTAAACTGTCCCCTTTTCTATCTCTTTTCTTTCAGTTTTGGTTCTTGTAATGGGCAAAGAAGGGGTCCACGGAGGCGGATTGAATAAGAAGGCTTTCTCAATGGCAAAATACTTGAGGGATTCAGGGTTTTAATGTTTTCAAGCTCACTTAGAAAAAATGAGGGACAAAAAAGAAGAGAAAAGAAAATATTGCTGTTAAGATTTCTCCTGCAAGCAGTCAAATGTCTTGGAAACTTTTAATAGCAATGAAGAGTGGTAAGATACTGTGTCACCTTTGTTCCCCCCTCCTTCGTCCTGTCTGAGGGGGAGACTCTTCAACTTTGTTCATTTCTCTTTTTTTCCTTGTGTGCTCCAGTATTGGTTATAGTCATGGGAAAGGAGGCGATCCATGGTGGAAATCTTAACAAGAAAGCACATTCAATGGCTGAGTACCTGAGGAAGTCTGGATATTAAGCAACCTCTCCATCCATTCATCAACTTAACAGCGCATTGTGTTGACACTACTTCCAGGATTAGATGGCATACAATGTTACTTCTTCCCCAGTCTACTTTTATACACGCCCCCTTTTTTTTTTTGGCTAAACTCTTCATACACTCCTGTTTTTCTTTTACTTAAACCTTCCCCACCCCTACCATTGTACTTCAGTGTTGGCACTAAAGTTATGGCATGTTAATTGAAATGTTTATTAACCCAAAATGTGCAAAAAATGTTAGCAAAGTGTAATAAAAGTGAAACACAAAATTGGACTCGCCTTGTATAACATTCACCGGTTAATAATCCGAGGAGAAGTACACATGTAATTGTGCTGACAGTTGCATAGATATGCTTTGTGAGCATTATTAAAAGATGCCATTTTTGAGGTTGTTTTTTTTTTCATCAGCATGTAGGCATATAAAGGTTGCATGCGTACTGTCTCTAGCATACAAACCCCAGGCCCTTGCCCTTTTTCTGTCCCTGCGTAATATTCCAGCCAAAACCATCTTCTCATATCATCAAGCATCAGTTTGAAAAAAAAAAAAAAAAACCTTCCTCTGACAAAGTCCTGTGTGTGAACCAATGCTCCATCCTCAAGCCCAACTATTTTTGTTATCCCCCCCCCCCCATCACATGCTTTTGCTGTTGTACCTGAATGTGGTCTTAAAAAGTTAATGATGTGGTGTTGGGCTGTTGTTTGAGTGTAGTTTAAGGTCAGCATCAAGTTGTCATGACACTTCAACACACCCGGGATCCTCAGTGGACATTCCACCTTTGTGACAGCTCACTCAACTTTTGCTGTACATTTTTCTGAAAGTCATCACACATAATGTGGAGTTATTTACCCTCCCCTTTGGACCAATTGTCAGTATAAAAGGATGTTCAGAACTGCTTCAGCTTATCCTGATTGATTGTTGGCATCGCCTGTTGACTGTAAATCATAAAGACGACTCCAGATGACTGTAAAACATTTTACTGCTTCCTTAGACTTCAACACTACTTAAATGTTTCATCACTAATTGATTTGTTGCTAACTTCATGTCCGTTAACCAATGAAACAGCATTGTCATTTTACTACAGTACGAATGCATTTTGACTGTAAATCCAGGCTGTTGGCCTCCAACACCTTGGAAATAATTTGCCTTGTGCTTTAGTCATCAAAGGTGTATTCACAAATTGTCATAGTACGGTACTTAGAAGTATATTTAAAAAAAACAAAAAAAACAATGCTGTGTACACTAAACATATTGAAAATGGTGTTGGTTGGAATAAGAACATTTGTAAGTTGTCTTGTGAAAATTTTCTGAGAATAACTGTATTCTGTGCCATAAAATTGATCTGATCTGTTGCTACTACGAGTTGGATTTTTAACTGCTGCCCTGGTAAGAAGTAACTTTTAATGGCACTTCCCGAAGGGATATTTTGGCATCAGTAATCTCCAGACTTTGTTGAATATGTACAGAATTAAACAACGGAAAAAGAAATTTGAAATATTTTGTCTTATTTTTGTTTTTTTTTGAGTTGGAAAATTTCTTCTGCCACAAAATCTGCTATTTCAAATGCCATCAATTGTTGAAGACGTCTTGTTTACAGATAGATCAAATAAAAGTTATTCCAACCAGAGTTGAAGTCAACATGTCCTCTCTGTTGCCTGATGAGAACAACCGTGTGGACTGAGTCAGACTAGCTCAGGATATTGTAATATCTGAAATAGAGAAGCACTACTCACACTGTTCTTGAACCAGTTACTTTTCTCTAATTGAGAGTATCTAGTGTCAGAGGATGTAGTCAAGCTCTCTCCCTGTGGTTGGGGTGTAACAGTCAGAAATAAGTCCACTAAAATGATTTTTTTCCAGAAAGATGGAAGAAATAAACCACATTTTCAAATTCAATAAGTAACGTCAAAGATACTATGTCTGAAGACAAAAGGTAATTTTTCATGCTCTGGTGCAGTCACAATAAAATATTTGTCGGAAGATTTTTATACTCACTCGAGTCAACAAAAAGGAAGCAGCTACTGACTGTCTTTTAACCCTGTAGAAAACAAACATGAATTTCGGTTTAGGTTCAATTTTTTTCTTCTGTGATTGCTGTGTCTCATTCTATTATATATATTTTTTAATTTAACCTTAATTACCCAGAAAAGAAACTCATTGAGATTAAAAATATATTTTTCAAGAGTGTCCTGGCCAAGACAGGCAGCAGCATTATCACACAAACAAGTTTTGTATATGTATATTTTCTCCACTGCGTCTCAGTTTTAATTGTTGACAGAAATTTTAATTGTAACTTATTTGGACAATTTAAATCAATGAAAAAGATCATATTTGAACATCAGTATTTTACTTATGGAGAGGTTGCGTTGTAAATGATAAATCAATGCCATCTCATCTAATGTAAGTACACAAATTATCTTTTTATTTTATTTTATTTTTTATGAAAAATGTGATCCCAGTTTTAGTTCTGCCTGTCCTCACATCACGTGTAAATACCTTATTCTTTGAACCTTTGTTCAGATAGCCATTGATCAGATGTGCATCATAAAACATTCACCCCAAACTTAGGATCATAAGTTGCTTTCTTTTGTAAACTAGGATGCCTACTAGATACATTGACACAAATTATGTCCGAACAGTGACAAGCTAGAAAAGTCATAGGCTTTTTAAGTAGAACAAATTGTTGTATCCTTTACTTATTTGATTACCACTGAAACACTTTATCACAGCTTTGAGTATTTGTGCCACAAAGTGTTGCCCCACACTTAATTGCTTGGATGGAGAGACCTGCTGAGGCCTTTTTCTTGATTAGTTGGATTTAATGCTGCATTCACGTGCTGCTCGGGTGGTCCAAGTTTCCGAGTTGGGAAGTCGTCCTTCCGACTTTAGTGTGTTCAGTTTGGAAAGTCTGAATGTTGTAACAACAGCACAAAAAAGAGCAGGTGTTCATGTGCATTTTACAACTTGGAAACTCGATTTTTTTCCGATGTGTCCAACACCACATGAATGCACCATAAGACCAAGCAAAGCCTCTGTATAAAATCAATAAAGGTGTAAGTGATTGAGACGATTGGACCTCTTCTAAGGAATAGTTGGGTGTGTACAAGTTTGTTTGACTGACAGCTCTACTACCCTGTTAATTTTGAAGGAACTGTTTGGGACAGGAACAGGATGACCTGTTATCATACCTATTGGTGCTTAGAATTTATTACATCATAAACACTCCCCATGGCTCCGCCTATTGATAACCTGACCTCGTCTAATTAGCCAGGGTAATTACAAACACCTGTGCAGGTGTACAGAGGCTTTTTTAAGCTCAGCCTGTGTGGATAACAGTTCAGTGATAGCAGCACTCGGCTCAGGTATCCTGCCTGTGCATTGTTTTTTTTTGTTGTTCAGATGGCGTGTAGAGGATGTTGGGGCAATGAGATTTTATTATCTTTAGTACTATTTTTGATTGTACTTTCATTTTGCCATGGCACAAGACTTACAAAGCGTAAGGCATTGGATAAAGCAAGAGGTAATTCAAAAGTTAGCCATGGTGAAAATGAACCGAGTGAATTGCATCCTGGAGAACTCTTGATTGGGCAGAATCCTCTTCAAGGTGCTGGAGTCAAAAGTGCTGAGGACTCTGAGAACCTACTGGAAATTGGTACAGGTTACCAGGCAGACATGGGTATGTTAAATTATTGTCTTAATCTGCACTCTACTAAAGTTAATTACACATTTTAAATCATGTCTCTAGTATGAATTTTAACCTGGTATTTAAGCTTAGTATTCAATCAGTATGTGAATATTTTACGATTGAATTTACATAAGGCTTATTTTTAGGTTGGGGGGAGTCCAAGCAACCTGATGGGCGTGATCATGACTTGTCAAGACAGAGGCGAGACTATGCAGCAGTGAAACATCTCCTTCAAATGGATCCCAAGGTTGAATGCACTGGAAACTCTATGAAGCTTCAAGTTCAAGATGCTGCTTCCACCCCTGGATCTCTGTTGTTTGTTGACAGGGGTAAGTTTTAATCTCCGGGGGAGTTGGTGAAATTTTCACTCGTTTCAGGATAACTTTTAGCAGTTTCAGATGTTTTTTTCTTTATTGCTCAGGAAGTCGCCTTTCTCCTCTGCCACTGTCCCACTTGCCCGCAAGCTGTGGTTACTCCATCAGGTCAACACCAAGAGATTTGGTCTTGGTTGCACCATATGATGGCTGCTTTGTAGCGCTGGAGGTGGGATACGCTATTCTAAATGCAATGTGTAAAAACTGCACACATGCACTCTTATAAACTTTATTTTGCTGGTTTCAGGAGGACACGTACGTACTCCCACTGCGCTGGGGGGGTTTACCAGTAAAGATGTCGTGCCCTTTGATGAAGCAGTCTTCACCCAACCCTCCAATCGTCACCTGCCATGCTGAGGGCATGGTAGTGAAAATGGACTCGACTACTTCTGTTGCAGATATAAAAGTGAAGTGTAAGTATTTCCTGGTTAAACATATTTGTTTCAATGAAACCCATTTTTGTGTCCGTAAGGTTTAGTTAACTTTTAAAAGGCTTAAAATTTAAAAATAAATGCACAGATGACATGCTTTCATCCTTGGTTTTGAGGACCTAGTTGAAAATTTATATTTATTATATATATATATATATTTTTTTTTTTAAGAGGAATAATTGGGGTATTTAAGCAAAAATGTCTAAGTGGTGTAACCGTTGAAACTTCGTGTCACCCAGTCAAGTACCAAATTGTCAACATCGTGTAACCACCATTGAAGGAGCCATTTTGCTAATATATTCATGTGACAAGAAATGACATCACCAAGAAGAACCCCTGATGGTCCTAACTGCTGCAGGCCAAGTTTAGCAACTCTCTTTAAAACATCAGATAATTTGACATTTTAAGGGTGTGGTCAGGCATGTCAAATGGTATGACCTCAGAAAAACACTAACAATTTATGATAATTATAAAAATTTGTATTCACTTTGAAAATTAGAAATGTTCACACCAGGAAATGTTATTGCATAGGTGTCAATGATAATGCCTGTCAAATTTAAATTGAAGTGGAAATGTCAAGTGGTGTAACTGGTTACACTATTTGACTTTTATGACAAGCCTTTCTGTTTGTGGCCACTTTTGTCAAATATCAGTATTTTATGTTGATGAAAGTGGTTATCCATCCACAACCTTACTATCAAGGGTCTAGGACAAAATACCCTGGCATTTTGTAAATGTTTGGCTTCAAATTGCATATTATTGTTCCATTTACTTACTTTTTATAAAGGTGCACTATGTAGTTTTGGTAGAGGAATGTGAAAGTTGGAGAAATTTACAGATTATGTGATATATGTCCATCATGACTCTAAACACAAACTGTCCTCAGATGAAAATTTGGTCCCTGTAACACTGTTTGAAGATAAAATGCTACTGGAGAAGTTATGGTGGGGGGCCCCGCACCAGTGAAAGCGTAACTCTCCTGGTAGCTTTGTATCTCAAACAGTGTTCCAGGGACCCTTTTTTTTTTTTTACACTTTGAATAAAGTTTGTGTCTTAAGTTAAGAAAATATATCAAACAATTGTTTCACTTCTCCAACTTTCAAATTTCACAACCAAATCTACATGCACCTTTTTAAACATGTATAATCTAATGTATGTATGCTGTAATATTGGCACCAGTAGTTGCATTTTAGATGTGTCGGCTATTGGGGGCCATGTGGTAGGGTAGGTAGTATCAGCGTGTCACTACCTGGAGCTTGCTTGCCAAAATCTGGTACTATAGGTGGCAGTGCTGTGACGGCCATGATGTAAAGTGGTGCCTGTGGGTATGTTATCCTTTGATTAGGGCACACGTACCTTGAGTTTATTCCATATACTGAAGAAATGAATTCCCCCTGAAGAATTTGGTCAGATGTTGTAATTTACTTAAGAGATTAATTAATTTAAGGGTGCACCGATCCTGACTAACACAGCTAGATCAGGTATCGGTAAGAATTTGCCGCTCTGAGACCCATCCAAAAGGCCGATCTATTCACTTCAGGTTTACGCTATTCTGTGTTTAAGACAAATGTGCTACATTGCTGTCATCAGCATACTGGTATCCTGTGCACTTTAGTAGGTGGGTCAAACATAAAATGGAGGAAGCTAACAACAATTTCTTCAAAAAACAATGGCCTTTGACTGTAGAAGCAGCATGGTGAGTTGGTGTAACTGGTTTGCGTCAATTGGTGTAACCAGTATTTCTTGTAAAAAAAAAATATATATATATATATATGCAGGAAAATTAAAGCTGAATAAAAGTAGTCCTCTATTGCAGTGAAATAACATGTTTTGTTTTTTTTTTACAATTTTTGTATAATTTGCCAGAAATGAATTAGAAAACAAGTGGTTTCATCTTTGTGTCCCGCTCAGTATTGAGAAGGGGCATAATTTAGTGATAATCCTAATAAAATCTATTTTCTTGTGCCATTTTTAAAATGAAGTAATTACAATCATGAGTACACTTGCATATACTCTAGATGTATAAAACATTCTTAATTTTTCACTGGTTACACCACTTGATATTTTTAGGGCCATTTAGTCTTACCTTTTTTGAAAAAAGGTTTAAATGTCATTTTAAAAAACACAAAACCAACATGAATACGAATCTCTGAAGATTTCTGAGTTGGTCATCTGAACAACCCTTACTTGTCACTGACCCACTTAACACTGCCCAGTAGAAACAGACAAACCATAAATGGCAACATGCATTGAGTATTAAAGGAAATTGTCAAATGTATTTCAAATAACTGACTGGTACTTAAAGTTTGCAGTCATTTTATTTTCAGATTGATATGCAAATGCTCAGAGTGGCAAACTAAACAGTTCTTCCTTACTGAATGCCCTAACATCCTTGGAGAATGTGCCTTGAAGTAATGAATCGTATTTTACAGTGACAGGTGACTGGGAGCCTTTGATGACTGCCTCGCCGAGATGTGGGTTCAGCATTGTTGCTCATCCTGAAGGCGTGGTCATCTCTGTTCACTATGCACCCTGCCTGAAGAAAAAGGTATGGAACAATTTACTTGCATACTTAAAATGTCCTTTTTATTGAAGTTTAACATTTTGATATATTTCTCTCTAGGATGGCATGTATACACTGGAACTGGCTGGAGATGGAGATGCTAAAATATCCTGTCCATCAATGTCACCAGCTGAAACCACTAAGAATCCTGTAAATTACCCAACCCAACAAACTGGAGCACCAACCCCAGCTTTTGAGCCACCACAGACTGAAGCCCCTCAGACACCAGCTGAAACACCTACTGCTGGTCCAAAGCTTGAGGCCCCTCAAGGTCAAAAATACCATCCATTTTACCACTACTTGTACCCTCAGCCAGAATATGACAATAAACCAGCTACAAAGCCCCAAAGACCACCACAGCCTCAGGACCAAGTACACCAGATATTCCACACTCAACCAGAGTCTGAAAAAACAACTGCCCCCAAACCTTCACAGCCTGAAGTATATCAGCCATTCAACCCCTACTATCAACTAATGTCCACTGTTCCACCAAAACCACAAAAGCCAGAAGTTCCTTGGGACCAAGTGCACCAGCCATTTTCCCTCAATGCACCTCCTGTGCAGCCACAGCCTGAAGACCCTCAGGAACATGTGCTCCATCCAGTTTACTACCCCTTTGACTCGCAACCTGAAAATGAACCCTCTGCACCCCTTGAACCACCAAAGCCTCAAGTTTCTCAGGGCCAAGTACAACAGGTGTTTCCCTGGAAGCCAGCTGAGAGACCAACTGCAGCTCCTGTGCAGCCACAGCGTGAAGACCCTCGGGGACGAATGCTCCATCCAGTTTACTGCCCCCTTCAGTCAAACCCTGAAAATAAACCAGCAACAAAACCCACTGCACCCCAAGAACCACCAAAGCCTGAAGTTGATCAGGATCAAGTGCACCAGTCTTTTTTCCTTGAAGCACCATTTTACAACTACCCTCAACCAGAACCCACTGCACCCCAAGAACCACCAAAGCCTGAAGTTCCTCAGGGCCAAGTGTACCAGCAGTTTCCCATGCCACCAGCTGAGAGACCAACTGCAGCTCCTGCACAGCCACAGTCTGAAGACCCTCAGGGACAAATGCTCCTTCCATTCTACTACAATACACCTAAACCAGCAACAAATCCTACAGTTAGTCATGGTCAAGTTTACCAACCATTTTCCCCCAAACCAGCTGGGAGGCCAACTGCAGCTCCTCCACAGCCACAGCCTGAAGACCCTCAGAGCCCTGTGTACTGCCCTAAATCTTGCCCATCTGGATTATCTAATTGTTGTGTACAAATTGCTTTTCATCAACATCTGCATCACATTGTACCTGCAAAGGAGACGGGTCAAGTCTATACAGGTCTGCCATTCCTGCCTTCAGGGGTTTATTCTGGGTTTGACCAAGGTTTGGGGTTTCCTCCTCTTCCTCAAATGCCAACCACAACTTCCACCTCTGCACCTGTCCACTCTCCGCCCATTCCTTGTAAAAATAGGAAGCAGCCACCAGATTCCAACCCTGATGCCATGAGTGGTAGTAATCCTAGCAACCCTACATATCAACAACCAAGTTACCCTTATGTTGTACCTAACCCAATGCCTCAGTGGCCAAATGAATATCTACAGACATTACCAGGACACTACAGTGGGTCCTCTCAACCACAAATTCAAAGTAATCAAGTGCAACATGGCCAACCTTCAGCTGAGGAGCAAAACAAACCATTGCAATCCAACAGCAACTCCATGGACTCTGAAGAGCTCAGACATAATCAAGCCCAGCATGAGCCTTATAATTATCTGGTCCCTCACTACCTGCAATAAGGTGCTCAGGCACCTAACCAAGGGATCCTTAACCCTGCCTCACAACCTTTTGTCAGTGGCTCAAGGAATCTGAACAAAAGAGTGATGTGCTTCTCCAACATGGTCCACCAGGAAGGTAGACAACTGGCTACAATGGACCACCCCTGCCTGTCAGAGACTTCTTTCATGGTTCAAACCTCCTCGCACAAAATCTTGCAAGGCATAAAAATAAAATACATCTTAAAAATGCAAAGCCCCCACAGGAGAAACTCCAATTCCCCAAATGGATGGGGAGAGTACAGTCTAATCCCTTACCCTGGAATACAGACTACATGCAAAGACCTGGTGATGGCTCAAGCTTGTTGCATCACTTCGCTGCACCGGTTGGCCCTCATTTTTTTGCCTTTGCCCCAGGATCCCTCTTTCAGCTCAGAAAATTCTAAGCCAAAACTCCCAGACTTCTGGACCCCCACGGCACTACTTGACTCAAGCAAAATAATTCCACCTCCGATTCCTGCCAAGGTATTTCAACCATGGAGCTCTGCAGTTAACCACCCAGCAAATGGTATGAAAGGTTTTTACATTGTTATTTATTCTTACACCACACTCTGTTACTAATGCTTCTCTCTTGCAGGACTTCACCAACCCATTCAGGGAGAAGGTGAAAATTGAAAGCAGAAATGAGTTGCCCTCAATAAATGATTGAAGCATACTTTATTTGTCTGTCTTTATTTTTACTTCCAGTATTTTAAAAAAGTTGCTTTGATTCACTTGTGCAATGGCTGAATTTTGATAGCATGGTGTTGTGTCTGTACTTGTCTCTATTGGTATGGGCAGTCAAGGACATCCTTTTTATTTTTTGACCAGGTTCAAAATATACAGTACACATTGGGTACAGAGTTTTATAACTACAGAGTAGGATGAAGGTGCATCGACCTTGTGGAACCTACTTGTTTTGCTTATTTTGTGTTGCCATGAACTGTTACTTCATGAACATTGACCATTAAAATAAATACCACTGAGTCATCCAATCAACACTGGCCTAAATGGGAACTGCCTGACAGGGCATTTTCCTCTTGATATGTTTCAATTTCAGTCTGCACTTTTTTTTTTTTTTTCCTTCATTCTGTTCCCTTCAGTTGGCCATTTCCAAAATGGCCAATTTGTGGAAATGTCAGTGGGTTCACAACAATGTCAATGGTATGAGTCAACACAATTGGCAAATAAATTAGTTTCCCAATCACTCTTAAGATATGACCAGGAAACTCATGGGTATAGGCACTGTGTGTAGAGACTAAGGTCAACCAGTTTATCTTTAACTTCTGAAAGGTATTATGTAACCACTAAATGTTCATTGACTACTGTTAATTTGGATTAGCAGTATTTGCAAAACATTTAAAGGATAAATAACTATCAAAGAAAAGCTCAGTCTTAAGAGATTTAATAAACTGCACCAAATGCAAATCTTGATACATTTTCTAGGAACATACTGATCTTTAGGGATGCATTTTTAAATAACAAATTTTATTATGAAATGCATTTATGTTATAACTTGCTTACACAGGACATGTTCATGTATAAAAGTCACAAATTATACTGTTGTCAGTGTGGCTGATTGAAGCAGTTATAGTCTATCGAACATGAACACTTAAAAAAATCTGATCCTTCCTGGGCACACTGGCGCAAGAATAATGGTATCAGTTTGAGTTGCTGGGACGGAGACAGCAACAACATCTCTCTTAAACAGAGAAAGGACCTCAATGGAGGAAGCATCTGAGGTAGATATAATGTCATCAGCTGGAACAGCAGTTGCAGCAGGATCTGTAGAAGGATCAGCAGCAGTTGGAGCAGCAACTGGATCTGCAACTACATTTATCACTGCAGGAGCTACAGGTATAATTTCATCCGACTCTGCTGATTCTGCAGACAGAAGACCACTTAGATGGGGGTCATGTAAAGCTGTCAGTTTGTGGAATCTCAGACCATGCTTGGCTGACAGGCTGCCTGTATGTCCATGGACCGCTGGTGGAAGTGCAGGAGCTGCAGTTGCTGTGCTGTTAGCATCTACAATAGGCATCTGTAAATGTTTATGCAAACAAGACATGGTTAGAAAAAATCATCTTTATAAATGTGATAAAACAAAGGTCATGCCTTATTAAATAGCATAGAAAACAGTTTGGGGTCAGAGTATTTTACCATAGTAGCAAACATCCTACAGTCCACTGTGTGGTCAGCATTCAGACCTTTTGCAAAACAAATACCCCGTGCCTGGTTGAGAAAAACATTTTTATTTCATTTGTACTGTTTTGAATGGCACTTGAGAGACCAGATACATAATTTTCACCATTTTCAATTTATGCAGGGCTAAGAAAAAGAGTATATAATAAATAATAATTGTGCATATAAGTACTTAAAATTGTTGTTTTTGTGGAAAAACTAAACGTATGCTTGGTATACTTACAGCCATGTCATTAATCAAGGGTACGCAGGTATCATTAGTGCAGTAAGCCTCAGTTATAACGTATTCTGCGGAATAGATCGGCCCACCGGGCAAGACCTGAAACAAGGTATTGAAATGCAGTGATTTTCACACAGACACAAGTTATAATGTGCTTCTGCATAAATATTTAAGTTAATTGAAAAATGCAATGGCCAACCTGTGACAACATCCGTCCAACCTCCAGAATACTGTATGTCCCGTTTACAGTAAAGTTGTTAACAGTTACAAGAGAGGCATGGACAAAGTCCAGTGCTGCTGTGTCATTTAGGGGGAGGAGGGTTGGACAGCCTAAGCAAATGTCCTCTGTTGATTCTATATGTCAAAAAAGAAAGAGATATAGATGATTGTGCATGTATGATGGGTATGTAAGTGTCGTTGTTCATAAGTGTGTTATGAGAAAGTTTACCTTCTGTTTTACATTTGAATGCTGTGACAGCCAGAGCTCCACCGACCGTCGTCAGCACCACATCACAGTCTCCTTCTACTGCCTGATAGGAGACAAATAAACAGTCTAAGTATTACAACTGCGTCTACATTTTTATGTAGTAATACAATGTGGTCTTACCGTAAGTACTTTGGGTCTGACTGTGCAGTTGGCAAGAGGTGTAGGATCCAACACATGACAGTCTGTCTCCAACAGTTCAATTTCCAGGTCATATGTGATGTTTCCCATGGGCTAAAAAGAGGTAAAACTTGACACTAAGTTGTGCTTTTTAGTTGTTGTTTTTTAGTTTCTACTTCATCAGACAGACATCATCATGCTATGCTATACTGCAGACATAAGTCTCTGCAGTAAAGCATAGTATTTCTTTAAAACCTTTTTTTTGACATGTTTGAATAAAGATTTGTATACAGAGACACCAAACACATACTGCTTGGTAATATATTGTAGCATATTTAGGGGTCTGATGTAAAAGTCACAGAAACATTCAAGTATAGAAAAGCTTTTAAGCATTGCAAATTATTGTCTTTGCTTTGAATATCCAAATTACACATTCATGTTAGATTCTACAGTTTTATCCTTCAAATCACACGATCTTGTTAGTGTTCAGGACGATATGAATTGATCACTTTCATATGAACTGAATCCCATGTTCCTGGCTGGAAAAGGGGGAACTATCTCTGAAAATGTACAATCTCTACATCTGCTGACTTACTGTAGAATAGATTTTGATGTCTTCAATCCTGTTCAGTGCATATTTGTAGCCATGGGTGTGCTGGGCATTAAGGTAATCTTGAGCCACTAGAGCAGCCTCCTCTGCCTCAGGGGAGTCACACTCGGGTCGCAGAAAAGTGACCTGAGCCCACGCACCTACAAGTAGAACCAGAACCACGGTGATGCCCAGGGGATTCATTCTGAGAGAAATGCACATGCAATAGGTAAGAGAGTGGAAGAGCACAGAAAGGAGAGGAAGAGCTCTAGCAGTTTGGGCTGTATATAACTTGTACTTCAAACTGGAAAACAGAGCCAAGTTAAACATCATGATTGTCCTTTCTGCCTCCTGCGTCACACAGGGTCTAACTCTGTTTTAGGAATCCTGCCAAAGCAAATGTAAGCTGACCGGGGGGGCACTTTTTTGTTTTAACCATTGAAAGTTAATTGAAGAGTGTTATGTAGAAACATTGCTGTGATTTTCATTAAATAGCACAAATGTGTTGAATTCTATACTACACAAAACATTCACGTTATAGGGCTGGTCGATATTGTTTGGCTGAATGGAATATCTTTTTCCTGTAAAGAAATACGAAAAACAAAGTTAGTTCTGAATCAAATCCACATGTGCTAAATTCCAAAAGTTATACAGGCACTTTAACAAACAGCCAGCTGCAGGATGTTGACATGTAGGCTACATTGAAAATGACATTGAAATAAAATACCCACTTGCATTACACATGATCAAATGACTGGCTTACACTGCAGGTTCCTAGAGCTCATTCTGAGCTTGGAACATCTGCTTTTGGCTTCTTTGCACCATCAGCTTGGAATTTGCTACAAAGCACTTTAAAAATCAAGGCACCAGTCTCTTATGGCCATTTTAGATCTTTAATTATTAACTCCCTTACTTCTGATAGCACATGTTTTAATTGATTTTGATTTTAATACTTCTTATTATATATTATATATATATATATATATATATATATATATATATATTGTTTGTCGATTTTTAACTGATTTTGTTTATCTATGATGTGTATATACAGTATGTGTGTGTATGTATACAGTATATGCATATACTTATATGTGATGTGTGCATATGTATATGTATGTTTGTTATTTTTCATTGTTTATCATGCTCGTCGTCATTGTAAATGAGGGCTATGCGCTCAATGATTTTCGAGTTTAAATAAAGACATAATTTGTGAAATAAAAAATAATATCATTAAATTAAAATGCTCCTTAAATATAAAAAAATACAAATAAAAACAAAAGTTCCATTCCTGCATATTAAAATAAACACTTTATATTTTGGTATGCATGCATTTTGTGTTTTATGCTCAGATAAAGAGGGGCAGACATGGAGAGGAGAAATAGGCAAATTATTGGGTCTAGGGAAGAAATGTTTAATGGAATTTTAACGCAACATAAACTATATCGATAGAAACAATATTGTCTTGGCCTATATGTTGTTTGAAAATATATCAATATATCCTAAAAACACGATATATTGCCCAGCCCTAACTCACATTGTGTAAAAGTTCTCCCTATCCACAAGTCTGAGTGAGCATTGGCACCACTGCAGCCAGGACTCAGGGACTTGCTCAATGAAACTTTCGCAAAGAGGATGTTTACCATCCCGGGGGCATAGTTGAGGGACAGGGACGCTTGCTACTAACGCCCACATATTTACTTTACTACACTATTATTGCTCTATGCCAACAGCAAGCTGAGGAAATGGTAAGTAAGTAAGTTCAGAAGTTCTCTTCGACAAGAGTCTTAACAACTTTAGGATTGCTTCCAACTAGGTTGTAGTTGCCAGTTCAATGTGAAAGACTGTAAAAGGTGCTTGTTAAGTCTATTTTTGCTGCTTCTTGATTCAGGTTTGAGTGATGCATGGTCAGGTTTTAAACTGATTACATGCTTTCTTTTTTTAATGTAGTTGATTATGCTAGAATCAACTATTTGACCTGTGTTGCAACAGGGTGCTAGTAGATTTGGTTTACCAATAATTAGTTGTTCATCAGTTCTTCTTTTGTTGAGTAATTGGTTAGTTAGTTAATTCCTTGTATGTTCCTCATTTGCTCCTTAGTTACTAATCAACATATTGTTTACCTTATCCCTCAGTTTTTCTCCATAAAGTAATCATTAGCTATTCTACAAAATTTGATAAGGAGTTACCCAGGATGCTTTAACTAATGATTAACTAGTAGACAATTTCTCATTTCTATCCTGCCCTAACTAATAAAAATGTAGTGTACCATATCCATCAGTTGTTTTTTTAAATCATCATTAGTAACTCTACAAAATTAGCAAACAAGTAACTCAGGATTAACCCAATAACTAAAGAGGAACCAGCAGTAACCCCCTGGGATTAATAAAGTTTTCTGATTTCTGATTCTAATTTGTTCATTTGTTCTCTAGTAATCTCCACAGATTCTACACAGAAATTTAGGATCTATGCACAGGGGTCTTGATTTCAATCATGGGAAGTTTTCTGGTTTTTGTTTCAACTTTTCACTGGAATTAGGAAGAAATTCACGTCCATTCACAGAGGGACATATATCGTCTATCAGACGACGATAGACAGTGATTGCCGAAGGGTTTGGAGATTTGAACTAATTGCTAACTTGGCATTTGTTTCTATGTAACTATGCCAAGTATTTTTAATTAACAAATGGTTAAATAGTAGTTAGTATCTCATTAGTTTTGTCATTTGTTCCAAAAAAGTGTAACACAGTAAATTTGGTTAACCAAAAATATGATGATACATGTTCGTCAATAATCTTTTTTTCCATGATGAAAGAAAGCTTGTCAACATTCTCTGAAGTAAAGTAATTCTCTGAAGTTCAATGTATCTTTACTTTAAATTGGGACATTAGGCGTTCATCGTTGTCTCGTGTTTAGCAGCTTTATCATGTTTAGAAAGTCATCTAACCAAAGGCTTGCATACAGATATCTTCAAGTTAGCTTTATAAGTTTGAAACCTTACTGTACAAACCTACTGTATCTCAATTAGCATAATTCATCAGCCTCACTTAAGTAGCCATTTAGCCACAGCCTATGGACATCATGGTAACAATTCAATACACATAGGCCTACTTGTAGGTCTACTCCACACGCCAACAGTTTGCAGACAACGGGCTGTAGACACTAACATAGTTATATTTGCTTGAAACCCGGTCATAAAATTTTACCTATTCTGTCCTCAATGTGTGTGTCTGTACACAAATTGACAGATAGCTTACAGACTTTGCGAGAAATGAGAGGCTGGAGTAAATTCAAATGCTTTACTGTTGTCATCATACTCATGAAGCTTCTTTCATTGTAAAAAAAAGGGATGCTTTCCAAGGCATACAGGCAGGGTGGAAAGAAGAAGCTGGCTTGTGCTGCAGGCCGACCACATGGTAATAAATGAAGCCCCTCCTAACTAGAGTCTCATAACTGAGTCACATGACTTAGAATGACCAATCAGAAAATACAGTGAAAAATATAGAGCAACAATTAAATTATCTCAAATGACCAGCAGGGGGAAACAGAATTAAAATGAATTTAAACATTCCTGCTATACATGACATTACCTGATCAGTCAGCATGGTTCTTTGGCTTTCTCACAGCTTTTACAGGCTTTGCCACACTGATCGTCAACAAATGCAGGTTGTCAATGAAGGGGAGGCGTAAACAGCACATGTGCATTTTATGACAGTGCAGTTGCACTCAGAGACCTTCGATGAGCACAAAGCGGATTCTTACATATTGTTGCTCTAAAAAAACTACAAAATGTACACAGGGATGTAACATCTATTGTTATAGAGAATGTAGGTAGATATGATAAGTGGAGGTAGAAAAGGAAAGTAAATGCATTTTTTTTTTTTAGTGTAGGCCTACTGTGGGAAGACTTCTACATGTCAGTGCCCTAGTTGGGCCACCATGGGGCAAAGCAAAGTCTGTACACGCCCCTGCTGTAAGAAATAAATGTGTTACAGTGCTTGCTCTTTCCTAAACGTTAAACTGTCCAACATGGTATCGACACCAGCGTTCATTTTAACTGAGCGACACTCTGATTGGGCCGCACATTAGTGACGTGTCCCACATGCGACGCTCAATGTGCGATGTTGCTGTATACATGAAGCGCTGCAGGTTTAGAGGGTCAAAAACCGACGAAATTAAAAAGAAAAACAATCCGGTAGCTTGGCATTTGTTGACAGCTATCAAACCCGTATTCATCCCACTTCGGACATTTTAACGAGCCAACAAGACAGAAACGGTAAGGCGGTGTGTTTACGGCTGTCCCCTCACCATTTGTTACCCACAGACCGTCAGTAAGCTGTGTTGGCTAATTTAGCAAAACACGTGCCAAGAACACGACCTACAAGAATTGCAAAACTCATAGGTGTATTTGATCCAAAGCTTTTTTTTAAAAAGTCAAACATTAATGTCAGCTTCCTGAGCTTTGTGGCGACGTGTCTCACATGTGCGCGTCCACAAGGTTTTTAACCTGCATTGAAACAGTTTTATGATGTCGGGATTATCTTATTATATCACACAGTTGTTACATTTTATTAGAACCTCTTGTGCTGCAGTTGCATATTAATGGTTAAAAGAAAAATCAGCAAATCAACATTTCTTATTTTTGTAAGTAATATTCCTGCATTTAAAACCACGTTTAAAGAAAAACATCAAGAATGAAAGTGCTAAATGTTCCCTGTAATAGCTCCTGTCAGTCTTTTGAGTTCAAGGTAATTGTGTTTTATTATTGGTGTGTTAGCAAGGGCTGCATCTGATTTCTAAAAGGAAGCTGGTTTAACCTGTTTATAATGTATTTCAATTTGTCAAATGAATACATCCAGTTCATGAAAATATTACATTTATTTTGAAGAGCTGTCAGTAAAAAAAAAAAAAGAATGAATAAGATGGTTTTTCGAGAAAGTATCTCAAAATGAACACAAGTACTCCAGTAGTTGTACCACCACTGCCTACACTTCAGTAGTTCACAGACTCAAGTGTCACGGGTTCATTTGAAACCTGAAAAACAGTAGAAAAATAAGTCTTTTTACTCATAAAACTGTGTTGCATTTCATATTATTGTTAGGAAACCTTGCTTATTATATCTCATTATTTCTGTATTGCAGCGGAAATTTGGACTGTTTCTACTGAAGAAACCACCAGAGGTCGAAGAAAATACAAGGGCAGCTGAATACGTTTCATAAACACCTCAAGGACATCAGCATCAGACTCAGGTTTCAACTTACAGC